ATTGAATGCTGAAAGGAGAAGAAACAATTTTGCCTTCGGTTCCGTTATGCACATGTCAAGACTTAGTGCGCCATATGTCTGGATCTGAGGCATGGAACAGTAAATACCACTTACCTTTCCTTGCGGCTTGTTCGATCAGAACACATAACGCCCAATATTTGGAACCTGATCTATGTAATCAGCCAGAACCAAAACGTGCAAGACATTACATTTCCAGAATCATATACAGCGTATCTACTGCTTTTATATCATGACGTATATGTGTACATAATGATCTATATATAAGATTGTTCATTCATTTATTTATACGTATGCGTTTGGCGACTGCGTCGATATGAAAAACCAACATCAAGGCCAAGGTAATCCAGAGTGAGCATGCCCAAAAAGAAAGGATGCATAAATAGCAGACGTGTTCAACTCGTCAAAGAAAACTTTACTTGCAGATTAAAGCACAGAAGAGAATGCCGAACTCAAGCTCGATAACACTTGAATGCTCGAGATACAAACATCTCACTCTGCTCGTCTCTTCAGGCCGAGAATTTCTTCAAAGATTTGAACCTTGCGTTGCATCATTTTGTACAAATGAATCAGTTTGAAGAGTGGCCCGAGTAAGGCACCGAGGAGTTTAAGGAAAAACTCGATGGCAAAACTTGTCGTTAGTCCATGCCAGCCAAAAACTTGTCGTTAAGCTGCCACATCTGGTCCGCAAATTTTTCAGTTCCAGTACCGAAACAGAATTGCAGAAAAACTTCCTGAGTGAGCAATTTGCAAATCACGCTTTGAATCGGTAATGGCATCTCTCGAACTCTGAACTGCGTTTCTTCTCCAGAATCAATCTTTTTGTACAATTCCTCCTCTGTCTTAATTCTACATGCATGTTCAAAATGACGGTTCTTATACTCCCAGATACCTTCTTCAAGTCTTGCAATGCATGAGAAGTTTCCACTTTAGCTATCACTATCGCACTAACGTCCACAAACACCTCACGCCGTTGCGATTATTCCTGAACCTAGATTTACTCATGGTTGTAAGGGTAGTTCTAAGTTCATGAGTTTTCTATAGATAATTAGATAGCTATATTCTTTGTATATTCCATACGAGTATAAACTCTTGATAAATTAATTCATTCATGCAAACATGTGATGAAACGCCTTCTCATAAGACCCTGGGTCCTCCACTGGTTGACATGCGCAGTATACCTCTATTGGAGTTACAATGGTCATTTAACTGATCGCAAATTTAGTGTTCGTTTGCAATAGAGCAAGCTCACGGGAGTCTTAAATTTCTCAAGATGGGATATGCTCGAGGGAATGGATCCGTCCCCATTTGAGTCTAAATTTGAGTTTGAATCCCATTTGAGTCTAAACCCACGTCTCAAATGTAAAGACCTTACACTTATGCACAATCCATCTAATTCTAACCTCAAATTCCCTTCGACTTCAAAATTCTATTTTACTCCCCCTCTCATTCTAAATCCTGAAGCTTTGAATCTATACTTTTGATAATTATGATAAAAACTATAGTTCAACATTGAATGGTTTGAATAACATCATGTCACTATTATCAAAAGTGTATTATTGTTATTATTGAACAAACTCACACATTAAAATAATTATGATAGTAATTAGAGCTTGACATTGAATAGTATCATGTCACCATTTTCATTTGTGAGTTATTGTTGAACAAATTACAAACTAATGGTATTTTAGTTTGATGTCACTAATAGGTAATGACACTTTTGGGAGGTTTAACTTTGTATACTTCTTTCATTAGACCTTAATGCTTCCAGCTAATCTAGTCAATCTAAATCCAAAGATCTACCCACTATTGGTATACGTGATCTAAGCCCAAGATCCGACTATAACTTTCAATTGCAGTCAGGTGAATCTACCCTACCTTTTACAACCATCTAATCTCCAGTCATACCCCTGGGCTCAAGCATTATACATCTTGAGATTCAATGCTTGAACTAGTGGCATTTCTGTCCTCTTTATAACTCTGCAAAATCTAGCCCTATAATGCATCACCGGTCAATACATGAAACAGGCTGATATTAAAAATATTAAAGATATATTTTTTCTATTTGTTTACAAATTTTGTTTTATGAAATCAATGAAAAAAAATTCACTTTAGGTCATGATTTTTGGACATGTTTTTTGCAAACAGTGGATTTTTTGATCTATATAATTTACATGTCTTATGTATAATAATATACATGAACATATGTGTCATTCTATTGAAGCTTATTTACATATTTCATCATTATATCTATCAAGATAATCTTCATAAAAATTGAATATGTTTGGATGTTTCATATACACTTTTGTAACTGAATATTATAATGTCATCTTTGTTGAATGAATCATTCGAAGAACAAATTTCTGTCTTGTTCAAATATAAAGAATAATTTTAAAAATAAAATAATAAAATTTATGTATTTACAAAATTTAATATATATATTTATCTAAAGCTAATCATCTACTTCAATCGATTGAAACAAAGAACCATGGTTCTTTGTTTCAATCAATACAATTGAACTGACTTACTTGATTGAATGAAATCCAAGCATATTGCACAAAATATATCTTCTAATCAAAATTCTTTTTTCAAGAATAGTAAATGCTTTGATGCTTGGAAAAAACATAAACATATGAAAGCTTCTACATATAACTATGCATATGCTTGTATTTGGATAGCTTTTATATTGCTCTAGTAATTACTTATCTCAATCATTGGTCATGATACTCTTCTTGAAAAGTATTCATTGCACAAGTGAAAATATGATTGATTGGTCTTGTTAAAAATTGCGTTTGATGTGGTCTCAGCAATTATGATGTATGCAATAATGATTTTTTATCATTATATGTGTATATATATATATATATATATATATATATTCACTTTAATCCTATTCGACAATCAATAATGTCAGTATATGAGATTTATACTCTCATGGTCCAATACGTCAGAATCAACTTAATCCTAATGATCTATAAGACATGATAATGTCATTGTTCATACATGAGGTATACATCTCATGCATGATCACAAAAACCACATACTCAATTCCAAAATAATAACTATTGATCATAGTCCGTATTATGAACATACAATCTAATATTCAGACATACTCTAAATATAAAATATTATCATATCCATATGTCAACGCTGAAGATATTAATCAACGGAACAAACTAGTAAAAACACCAATTGATATGAAAAAACAACTGCATCAAAATGTACATAACATTCACACTTTAACAATGAAAAGATAAATGAATGGACTAAAACAAAATGAACTAAACCTAGTCAATTTAGAAAAGCGTTAGGTGAAATTCACCTCACACTTTTAGATACGCGAAAATATATATTTGTACAAACTCATTATATTAGACAATCTAAGCTTGTTTGCCTCTCATCTTGAATCAAAACCAAATGTGGTAACATTCCTCTACGGAAGTAATGATCCTCGTAAGCGATCAACCACGCATATTTTATCTCCGGTAAGGTCACCGGAGATGAAAAGTTGCTGTTTATTGGATTGAATGACTTTGGAGTACGACGAAAGATATACCATCCCTTCTTATTACTCCACCGTTTATGAAGTTCTCATGTTTGCGAACTGAAACATGGTCAATTTTACAGGTGGATTTCACCATTCTGCAAAAAGTTTGCTTCCAGGAAGGCAAATTATGGGAAGGACTTAAGAGCAGTTCGGGATGTAGTGACGTGGTAGAGACACGAGATACTCATGTCCGTTTTCTACTCGAGTCATCTCGTCCCTGTAAATGAACTAGTTTGGCCTTCTTCTAGCCTCTTCCTTCTTTCACAGGATATACAACATTCCACTTTTCCCACAGTCCGTCCTGGAGTCTGGAGCCCTGAGTACAACGTCATGAAGCTTATTGATAATCCATGGTATATACTCCAGGAAATTGATGAAGGAGGAGGAGGAGTTTGACTAACAAGAGTTGAAAACTTGAGCCATTTACATTCGATATTTTTTGATACTGATCAGCGACTTTCCCTCGAGCACTCCCACAATTGTGGTAAATGCTTGAGGAAAAAGTCCAATTCACTGTGCAACTGCTCCTCCGAGTTGGATGATTCCACACAATAATGATCAAGAACAAGTGGACAATTATTGTGCATACTTCTTTCTCATGGGCACGAGAACTTTGGAAGATTGAGAGGTTAGCATTCACATCTTCACTGTCGAGCATTTTAGATGGCAACTTCTTAGCGTCGATCTGAACTTTCCAAAGAGAACCCTACCAGGCTGCAAGATTTTACAGCAGCATTACTGCACAAGCTCAACATCTTTTCACGTCCAGAAGGAGTGAACTGTTGCAGATGCGCGCGTTGACATGACAATCTGGCATGCTGAAAGACTTTCCGACTCCGGTGTTCGAGCACTCCGTCCCTCACCTTCTGGCACCAAAGCGATCCAACAAAGATGAATCGCACCTCAACCTCGATCTGCTCTACGGGGAGTGGATTATGGACTCCGACAATGCATGCTGCTGGCTCTCACCATCCGGGCACGACAGTACGGTAGAACTGTATCATAGGCTGCATTCTAGTACCTACTGTAAGATAAGAATTCCTCCCAAAGGTGACCGACCATGGTTCGAACCGTAACCATGGACTTCAGCGAACCAGAGAGCGTCGACTCAACTCCGGCCCAATCTCGACGCCTGGAAGCGGTCATCGACCTTCGGACGACGGTCGCATCCTAACCGCGGTTAGATGCTAAAATCGAACAAGCAAAGAGACTCGCAACCCTTCTCTATTATTCACATGCCGCTGTGCTTATCAGCACAGCACCATGTCACAGCCACGTGGCGCCTTTCCGCCACCGGGACACTAATGACGGGCCTGGTCCTGGTCCTGGTAGGGCCGTCGTACCCCTAACCCGCGATGGCTTGCCTTCCGCTCCAATGCTGCCCACGTCGGACTCTATTTGTTCCTTGGCCTGGCAACGTTCGCAAACCTTCCTTGGCTTTGGTTGCGCCACTGGCTTCAGGCGAGCGCGAGGTCAGAGGCACAGAGGCACGGGACTGAGAGATCGAGAGGGGGTGCCAGAAGAAGACTCTGCTGTAAGGACCGAAGCAGGAGGAGGGAGGGAGGCAGGAGGAGGAGAAGACGAAGAAGACGAAGAAGACGAGAGCTAGCGTAGCTTGCTGGCCTTGCGGGGTGCGCTCGCCCGCTCGTTCGCCAACGCACGCACGCACTTCCCTTCCATTCCTCCTCTCGTGCGCCTTTCCCTACCAGCGCTGCTGGCCTCGGCCTGCGTAATCGTTTCGGGGTTCTTTGCTCTCGTTCCGCACTTCCGGAGCTCACAGTGACACGGATCAGCTGATTGGTGATTGACATGTGTTTCGCGTCGGTCGAATCAAGCCTAGTGCAGGTCAGATCGGGCGGAAGAGCTGTGTGCGAAGGAGTGAGAGGTTTGGATCGCGAGTGGTTTTTTGGGTTCAATTGTTGGATCGCCCGGCGCGGATGAGGCTAGCAGTGGAAGGAAGGATGCAATTGTGAGTGAGGCCGACTGCTGGCTGAGGAGGAGCTGCTGCCGCTGCTGCGGTTCACGGTGCAGGATTGGGGCAGGTGACAGGGGTAGTAGATAGGTAAGGGTGTGAGAGATTGTGGGGAAAGCAGAGCAGTGGTTTCGAACAGGTAGCTCGAGCAGGGGATTGGCCAGAGGCTGGCCCCGTCTCGTCGAGCAGCTGGGTTAGGAAATTTCATACGAGTGGCCATCTAAAATGTGCGATATGGTACATTCATTATGCGGAAGGGAAAGATGGAGGAGATCCATCTGAAAGAACCTCTTAGATTGCGTTTGGGACAGGGTTTTTTCGGTTCCAGGTCATCCGGGTAAGCCATTTCGAAGCTTTACAATGCGTCTGTAGTTGCATCTACTCTACCGATTCTGCTTTGGCGTACCTGCAAAGTCATCGGGTGACAACCATTTTAGGGCATCGATCTGCCCTGTGGAACGAGGATCATTCTGGATCTAGGATCTAGAGGGGCGTATTTATACCCAAAGCTCCCCTTCAACTAAAATACGTCACACTGGAGCAGCTAAAGACTATAGGTCGGGAGCTCGCTATGGGCTCCCAGGTAGGATGGGGAACCTCAAAGGAGTTCACCGATATTGTCAAGGCTATTGGGGAAGCGAAATCTAAAGCCGAGGAGGAAAGAATCGTTACCGCCGAGATTGAAACGCTGAAGAAGAAAATAGCAGAGCCCGATGTACCGCGGAAGAAAATGAAGGAATACATCATTCGCCTTGTCTACGTGGAAATGCTGGGCCACGATGCATCTTTTGGTTACATCCACGCGGTTAAAATGACTCACGATGATAATCTTTTGTTGAAAAAGACAGGTTATCTCGCAGTCACACTTTTTTTAAATGAGGATCACGATCTTATCATACTGATTGTCAATACAATCCAGAAGGACCTGCGTTCGGATAATTACCTTGTATGTTGTGCTGCGCTCACGGCCGTTTGCAAGCTTATCAACGAGGAAACCATACCTGCGGTCTTACCTCAAGTGGTAGACTTGTTGCAACATCCAAAGGAGCTAGTGAAGAAGAAAGCGGTTATGGCCTTGCATAGGTTTTACCAAAGAGCACCTCACACAGTTTCACACCTTCTTCCGAAGTTTGAGAAGGTAAGATCAACTCAAATCTTTGCTGTCCAGCTGAGCTTAAGAATTTGAGCACAATTTTGGCTCCAGACCAATCAAACTCGTGTGATTTGGCTCTAGAGTTAGCGACATTTTGCTTTGCAATCAAACCACATTTGTTTCTGGCGGTGTTGCTTGTTTTGCCTTTTTTACCATTTTGACCATGCTTCTAGTTCCATATTTGTGTTTCGCACACAGTTTTTCATCTTCGTCACTTTCTTCCTTATCTTCTCTTCGAAATAAATCAGCTCTTGTTAGCAATCTTCTGGTCCCGAAATATGTTAGCTATGTATTCTTCTCCGACACATGTGTTAATGGAGTCACTGCCAACCCTAGTCCGGATGTCTTGTAAGATATGGGCAGGGTTCTTTAATTACCCCTTAAGCGCTGCTAACCAGGCCACTAGTGGATTGCATTTTATTTCTTTTGGAATTTTTTTGCGATAATATCAGACATTTAGAGTGGGCTAGAGATTCTTTCCCATTTATCTCCCTCAGTGCATAGGTTAGCAGATGTTTTAAAATTTTTACTGTGTAGTTTCACATAAGGATTTATTACAAATCTCATTCTTTGATATAATTGGTGCACCCACAATGATTATGACTTCTCCTCGTCTGACAGGTAGTTCTAGGTAGTTGTATTCGTTCAGAGATACAACAGAAAAATTGCTTTCCGTTTTGTGCCATTTTTGTGTTCTATAGATAATGAGCAGAGTAGTAAAGATTTCACTGAAGAACTCGGATGAACAGATATTGCGATTTATGCTGTAACGATTTAAACCTACACCATCTGTAAAACTCAGTGAGATCATCTAATATTCTTGATACCCTGACGCTCTTGAGAAATTGATTGACGTGAAGGAAGAGATTAGGGTCTTGCTTCGAATAAAGTTACGGTCATTGGAAGAACAGAAGCTCGTCTCCCACAAATGAAGAAGCACTTTCTCGTCATTTATCCCTATTCTTCATCCACCTTGTATAGTGTATGCAGTGTCATGAGACGCACATGACTGCTTTTCCTGCTGAAAAGGTTCAAATTTTGAGAATATTTTGGATCAAGTGTTCTCACGGAACTCTGTCTTATTTTCTGGTCTGTGCAGAGTGTTTGTGATGCAGACCCAAGTGTCACCAGTGCTGCTTTGTGTGCACTATTTGATCTGATCACGGCAGATCCTCGGCCTTACAAGAATATGACTGGTGCCTTCGTAAATATCTTGAAGCAAGTTGCAGAGCGTAGGTTACCAAAACCCTACGATTACCATGGTACTCCAGCTCCTTTTATTCAGGTAAGGCGAGGATTCCCTAATCGTCATGTGTGCCAAACCGTATCTTTATATCTGTAAGTCGTAGACCGCATTCGCTCGGTTGTAGGAATTATCATAATGAGGATCATACTGAGGATCTTCAGTTGATACGTTTAGATGATCGTGTTAATTGACGTTTGGGTGGCAAATGCACAAAAAGGGTTATGGACAGAGATGTTTGGCTATAGACTTTGAGGGGGTCATGGTTCGTTCCCTTCTGATTTTCCTTGCAGAGTTTCCAGACTGACTCGCTTGCATGATGTTCCTTATTCTGCCGGTGCAAGACAGGTGTATTTATCTTGTGTTGTCAGTTGAATGACGAGAGTTCCTCCAATGCATGCAGTCTCTAGAGTTGAATCAGCACTGAATTGATGGTGAGGTGTTGAGTGTGGCAGATGTTCATCTTTTGCGCGTAGGGTCATGGTTTTGTTTTAATTCGCTCTTCGACTCTATGCAGATAAAATTATTAAAAATTTTGGCGCTACTCGGTGCGGGCGACAAGCCAATGAGTGATAACATGTATAACGTGTTGGGCGATGTGATAAAGAAAAACGACACTCACACAAATATTGGACATGCTATTCTTTACGAAGCAATCTGCACTATTACCTCAATATATCCACATCCTAAGCTTCTGGAGACCGCTGCTGAGATAACATCCAGGTTTTTGAAGGTGTACTTATTTGTTGGTCATCTGAATATTGATTTCACAAAACCCACATGCTGTTTTCCAGCTGAAGAGTATCTAAGTCTTTCTATTTTTAAGCATCAAGTGTAGTCTTCAAGTGCCTTCACTGCTTAGGCTCAACTTATCTTACATGCAATATTAGATGTACAGCTTCTTGCATTGTCATTGTCTTTCAGCTACGTTCACCTACTAACCGTGTTCGGTGGGTTACGTCAAACCAGGATAATAACCACAATCTCAAGTATATGGGTATTGATGCACTTGGGAGAGTGATCAAAATCAATCCAGAATTCGCAGAAGAGCACCAACTTGCTGTAATCGACTGCCTAGAGGTTCGTCTTAGACCTTTTTTTTGTGTGTTTCATTGCTTCTTGTGTCTGTTGCATATGGTTGTACTGAGCGTTTTGTAAACACGGTGGCCATAAAGTTCGGCGTTTTAGGGTATACGAATTTCACCTTTCTTGTTTTAAAACACACCTGGTTGACAAACCTAACTTCAAATTTCAGGCGTAGAAAGTTGAGACACTTGTGGCCGTGTTCGTTCCTAGGGCTATTCATCAGCTAAAGGACTGAACGTTTGGATGATGTTCGGATCTAGTGATTTTACGAGTTTCGTTGTGAGTGCTGCTGTTACGACGCCGCTAAATACGTAGATATAAATCTTGCTTGTTTGTCTCCCTCAACGCAGGATCCAGATGACACATTGAAAAGGAAGACTTTGGATCTTCTGTACAAGATGACAAGATCTTCGAATGTGGAAGTTATCGTTGACCGCATGATAGGCTATATGCGCACTATTAACGATTCACACAACAAGACAGAAATCGCATCTCGCATCATTGAGCTAGCTGAGCGTTTTGCACCGAGCAATCAATGGTTCATCCAGGTACTGAAGTATTTTGTAATTCGAGTTTCTCAAAAAATTTCAACTACTTCTGAGTCTTAGACAATTGATTTGCAGCCTGTATGCACTACATGCTGCAACCGTCTAACGAACCCTAATAGATTTTTCTCGTCATGTAGACAATGAATCAGGTCTTCGAACTCGCAGGAGATCTGGTACCGACCAAAGTTGCTCATGATCTCATGCGGCTTATAGCGGAAGGTGCCGGTGAAGAGGACGAGGATGCGGATAGTCAACTACGATCTTCCGCCGTAAGTTTGTCTTTGTTTGTTGAACATTGCTTGGTAACTTTACTAAGAGCGAGTCAGTGGAGCTTGTCGTTCACTTTTAGTATACATGCTTCATTGACGTACCACTGTGACTCATGAGTTTTTCATTTTCCTTCAGGTGGAATCGTATCTGCAAGTACTCGCCGAGCCGAAACTCCCTTCAATCCTTCTGCAGGTGGAGCTCACAACCTTTTTTGACTACCACTGAAAAGGCTTGGAAATAAGTAAATATTTTACAACAACATTGTGGTGAAAATGCCTCCAACACTTGCATGAAGACTTCAAAAAGCTATCTAACTTTTCATACACGTATTATTCACGTCTTTTTTTAACAAAACCTTCAGTCACATTTGGTGAATGGGAGTGTAGTGGATGCTTTCAACTTCTGGTTACTGCCTCCTCCTTTTCGTAACCGAAAGCTACTTTCGAGCGTCTTTTTATTAGAATCAACACCTCCGTAGACAGAGATTTCGTAGTTGCTTTCATCCAGATTGAGTGACTTTCCACACTAACAAGAAGGCATATTTGCAGGTCATTTGCTGGGTACTAGGAGAATATGGTATTGCAGATGGGACCTATTCCGCTTTCGATATTATAGCGAAGTTATGTGATGTGATAGAAGCACATCCAGCAGATGATGCCGTGAAGGTAAGGTCTCCTGCTCCTTGCTTACGCTTGTCGGGTTGATATTAGAGAAAAGTTAACAACTAATTAATTCACCGAAAAGTATCCGAAAGGAACCGGTGTCTTTCACGCCAGTGAAAGTGCCCCTTGATCCCTGCTCACGATATGTGATTGTGAAGTCTTGGATATGTTCAGGATCTGGTGTATCGACAGTTCATGCGAATTGAGTGGGTTATCGTTGTACCATTTACCACTTTAGGCACAAGTCCTCTTAAACATGAGATTGATTCGTCTTTCTTGCCTTGCAGGGATATGCAGTAACTGCCATCACCAAGATTTGTGCTTTTGAAATCAGCGCTGGTAAAAGAGTCCAGCTTCTCCCAGAGGTGAGTTCCACCGACACTGTGTCGCGCAAATTTATGTATTTCTTGAATTTCTTCGACGCCATTGAAATCTTACCATAAAAATGTGTCTTTTATATTGGTCTGATTGTCACTAAGGTTGTATTCAATCACTACTAATTGGTATCTTTCTTTATGTATTAATGACCGTTAATGTATTCGCCATAGTTTTAGCGTTACGTCAAAACCGTTTCAAATATATAGCAGATTTAGGTGCTTTAGCCAAAACTAATCCTATTTTAGCTATTACCTTGTCTATTACTATGTTTTCATATGCAGGAATACCCCCGTTAGCTGGATTTTGTAGCAAATTCTATTTGTTTACTCAAGGTCAGTACTAAAGCTTTGAATGCCCTTGTGTGGTGGAACAGTATCGTGCAGTCGTCGATGAGCTCGCTGCCTCTCATTCCACAGACCTACAACAGCGTGCTTATGAATTGATGACTTTTCTTGATCTCCCCGCTGATGTTGTTGCTACTGTGATGCCCATGGATGCAAGCTGTGAGGATATCGAGGTATGCTTTTAGTTAAAGTTGTTCTTGTTCTTGTTATCTCTACAAATTTTGCCTTTGGCTTTTCCATGATGTATAGCTCGTCTCCGTCCCCAGCCTTATTTAATCATAGAGAAGGGAAGAATCTTACAGACAAATAAGGAAGAACTCCCATAGATAGACTGTATGGATCTATTGAGACTTAAGGAAACGGTTTTGATCCTTACGTATGTTTGCAGTTTTTCAATCCTGAATTTGCGTACAATCTGAACTCCCTTTGAACTTTTGTGACTAGTTTGAGGCATTACCGTGCCATCTAGTACTATACTGCTGCAAAGATGATGTCTTTTTTGTTTTTATGCAGATTGACAAAAGTCTGTCGTTTTTGAGTGAGATTGTCGAAACTGCCTTGGCAAACGGGGCGAGACCCTACGCACCGGAGCATGAACGAATGGATCTGGGTGGCCTTGGAACTCTTATTCCCAGCACACAGAACGGCCCATCTTCTTCATTAAAGTTTGAGGCATATGAAAGGCCTGTGATACCGACTCCCGTTTTAACTCCTGTCCAGCCGACTCCATTGATTAACGAATTTGAAGACCAGCGAGATCGGAGGAGTTTGAGAACACCACATCCTTCACATTCTATATCCATAGCACCGGAATTAGATCTGATAAACCCAGAAAGCACTCGATTAAGGTTGGACGGAGTGCAGAGAAAGTGGGGACGACAAACGTACAGTACACAGTCATCTACCACGTCAGCTGACAGGGACAGATCAAGCAATGGAGCTGCTGGTGCTTCTGACAGGGGCGGCTCTTATGCCAAAGATAGTGGAGCGAGTCAGTATGAATCTTCTCGCTCTACTGATCGGAGAAAACCAGTTGAAATATCATCAGAGAAGCAAAAGTTGGCTGCTTCATTGTTTGGTGGTCCATCAGGTTCACGGGTGGCAAACACAGGCAACGCAGTAAAGCCTTCACGGACTGCTGCACACAAAAGTCAAGTACCTAGAGGAGGTGAGAAACATCAGTCTTCGAGATCAGTACCTGGTTCTGGGAGGATCGCTGACAGCGATACGTCAGTACCGAGTTCCGCACCAGTTCCACAAGCACCCCCTCCAGACCTCCTCGATTTGACTGATGGTGAAACGGGACACGCTGCTCCTTTGAACGACCCCTTCAAGCTCCTCGAAGGACTTGTAGATCCACAAGTCGGCTCCTCTTCAGCTACGTCAGCACCTCCTGTCAAAGCCGATGTAGATCTGATGTCGTTGTATGGACCTGGCCAAGTCATTTCGTCCGGTGATGGAGGGAGCCAACCATCAGGTTTAACTGATATGTCTGGATTGCCTGTCAGTCCACTGATAGGATTAACAGGTGTAGTTGTTCCTAATACACAACCTGGTGGTCCTTCCGTAGGCAAAAAGGGACCCTCACCTCAAGGTTCATTGCAAAAGGATGCAACAGCTCGTCAGGCAGGGGTGACACCCACGGTTGTAAACCCGGACTTGTTCAAAGATCTACTTGGCTAACTTTGTGCCTAGCCCAATTTATATCACCAATCTACAGCCCCTGGCTCGAATGATGAGATATGTCATGCGTGAAGTTTGCAAGTGGTTTGGGTCTGTCACTGTAGGTACTTCGGAAGAATCTTCTCATTAGCAGCTGTTTGATCCATCAAAAGAAATGTAGACTTGGTTGGTGTGGATTTTACGGTTGGAAGGTTTGTGCAATAATCGTACAGAACGAAAATTAGGGCCGCTGAGGAGCTCAGTAATTTGCAGGGAAGTGAGTTGAATTCTACCTTCCCCCTCCATGAATTAATGCTACTGAAGTTTATAGAGGCCGGCATAGACGTCTTTTCGTTACTTTTTTGAGAGTTTAGGACCACAACCGATGTGTAGCAGCTTCATGGCAGCCAAAGAAATGTTCCTCAATTTAGTTATTTCTGTGCATACGAGGACTTCTGTGATTTAGGCACCACTGAAAATAGATCGACTTTCAAGGTTCTGAACTTCGTCGTTTACTCTCGTTTTGATCTGTGCAAAGGTATGTACAGTCAGGTACACATGGCATTCATTGCATCCTTTGTCATATAGGAAGTTTGATAAGCTTTGGTTTTATGTTTTTTTGGGTGGTCGACACTTCTTTTTTCATTGGGACTCTCCATATCAGAGGAAACGTTTGCATCTGTGACATTTGCAGATTGACATAAGGGTGGCATCAGGGCCGAGACCGCTTAAATCACATTGATGAAAATTCTAAGTAAATTAAATGGCTACATTACAAGAGGATTGGAACTTGATAATACTAGTTTTGTAATTTTAAAAAAATTGATGAACGTTAAACACACTAAGCATTACGTGTGAGGCTATGCAGAAAATATGAGAAACTCATAATTTGATTGATTACCAATAACTCTTTGATTAATACCTTCAGACCTTGAATCAATTTGATGGATAGATTCAAAGTGTGAATTTCTTTTTTCCCCAAGTTCAATACAAATAATCATAAACAATGTATGAAAGGATATGCAACTCTATTTAATTTTCAAGATCTTACTATGTCACAAAGAAGCTAATCAAAAGTTTCATGCAAAACTTTGAAAGCTTACATTCAAAATCCATATGCCATCTTTTTATGTAAAACATTTTTATTAATATAACCAATATATCATTATTCAAAATCCATATGCCATCTTTTTATGTAAAACGTTTTTACTAATATAACCAATATATCATTGTGCAAGAAGAATATAAACATGCATACCTGTCCATGATATCACATGCCAACCGACCAAGGGTGTGATCTTAGCATGTTCTAACTAATTATGAATTATATAAAATCGAAAATGAAATAAAAAGGGACAGAAGTACTTTGTCTTAAACATTTTAGGATAGGAAAAGACTGATATAGAATCTCTCCCAGGATCTTATCAGTGTACTAAAAAAAATCAATAAAATTTGATGCAATCTGCATGTTCCCTGAAGTCATATATGTCCAATGTTCATATAACTGGCACATGATCTCATCCAAGTATATAATTTCACAGAGAATATTACTTTTCATATTGGTTCTCAATGAAACCCATCTTTTATCTCTGCATTCTCCAACCCTATGAAGAACTAATCTTGTGTCCTAACCTAGTCTACTCTCTGCCTCTTTCTCTCATCAGTGGGTTTACCGCCAACCAAGAATGAAAGTAATGGTTGTATCTTATTAGGGCTTTCATAACACTTCCATACGAACAGATCGGGTTATTGTTTCCATCACATATATTAGAGATACTTTGAGCCGGTTCATGGAGAATTTACGAGAGTAAATCTTTCAAATTGTACCCGCTTAAAGGATGGGAAGGTTTGACATATAATCTCTTGACACGACAATATTTTAGTCGATTGTTGAGACCAATGCTTCATGCAATTCTATGCTAGCACGCTGCAGGTACCGATTGAAAGAAAAGAAAGGTTGAAGGCATTGAAATGCGCTACACTATTGTTCTTTATGATAAGACCCATGCAAATCGCGTCCAGACGTTTCATGCAAGTTCTATATTACAATTAGTTTAGATATGGTTGTACTCAGTATCTGAAAATGTTGACATTGAGATGTATTTCGAGTTGTGCTACAGCTTGAGCCATTCATAAAATAGCATTGACAAAAACTGTTTAGCATGTGGGTTTGTCCTCAAGAACTCTACATGAAAAATATACTATCAACTTCAATATTATCTTCAGATCACGTACTAATTTTAAGATTGTATTGGGGTCAAGACACTAGATACTGTCCATACTTATGAGGGCTGGTGAAACCCAAGCTTATGGCGAAGTAGCATAGCATCGAGTTGAAAAATCCAATAATTAGACTTCTTTTTGGGCATCACGACATTCACTCCACTCTTCCCAGCAATAGCGCAAACTATATTTGTAACTGATTGAGATTTGAATTGATAATATGGTGTTCCGGAACACAATGTTTAAAAAATTTGCAATAAAATTAGCTAGTTTTTCGCTGAATACCTCTGTGGTTAATCAGCTGAGCGTTAGTGTTGGAAAGTACTGCAAATAGCCAAACTGACGTTCTCTGCCTAGATGTAAGACCCCCATGCAAATTGAACGCAAGTCGAAAGGGCAGCTTGCAGTCCTTTTCAGAGTAAATTCGGTCCCCCTTAACAACTGCCGGCGGTGAGCACTTCTAACTGCAGACTTGGAACAAACTACCGTTAAAGCCAGGACTAAGGGTTACCGTGGACCGAGAGCTCTGAGATGGGTTTACGAGTACCGGGATTCAGTATGATTGAACTGACAACTGGGGACTGAGCAAATCGCTCAGTTGGCTCGAGCAAATCCCAACTATACAAATTAAGCTTAGAACCAAAAGAGAGGATGCCATCATGTCTCAGCTGGAACTGGGAACTGGAGTCATGATGGCCTCCTCTCTTTTGGTTCTAAGGGTAATTTGTAAAAATGGGATTTGCTCTGGCGAATGAATGCTCCGCTGAGACATGATGACCTCCTCTCTTTTGGTTCTCTTTCGGATCTAAGCTTAACTTGTAAAGTTGGGATTTGCTCAGGCGGATGATTGCATGGGCCTCACACCCAGGTTCTGAAGTATATCTTTTGTAAGAATTAATCCTATCTACAAGTGAACCCTCATGTGTATTGTGTATTAGTTCAAAACCATTTGCATTCCATCCTTCACCCAAAATGCGGTGCAGGCGTTGTATTACGGAACACGATTCTCCATCAGGGTCAAGCCAGCTCAGAACAACATCGATGCTTCGAAAGTTTCTACATAGGTCTCTACCCGACCTGATTTTTGAGCTATACCGTTGTTCCTATAGTCCGGTTTTCTGGACAGAGAACATCAACAAATGAAGGCAGGAGAAGAAACGAATCTCACCAAACTGCGTTCGTAACACTCAATCTACTGTTACATGGTCAGCAGAGGGAGAAAGTGTGGCCCTTGGCTACTAGAGATCATTTCTCAAATGACATTCCGGGTGCGCAACAATGCACAAGTCATAGGGTAGAGGGTTGGTGAGAATTCAAGTATTAGTGCCTCGGAGGCATAGAGAAATAACATCTGAATAGCTCACCAAACCTACACCTTCCGGCTTACCAGCCTTGCGCACCTTCCCGAACACATTGAACAAATCATAACTGAAATAACTACTATTGGGATATCCGGCGGTTGTTATGATGAACTCCATTCGGTCGAGGCAAGCCCAAACCTAGTCCTAAAGGAGCGGCGCTAGTTTGATCGTGTGAATGATTACAAGTGGCCCCATGCACATGATGGCTTCTCGCACCACCGGCTCCGACAGCACTACTGAAGACTCCTGGATTCTCCACATCTCCACCAGAATTGGTATGATCTAAATGAGAATGTTGAACCATCTGCACCATGCCTCCATTCTGCATTGGTGGTGGCAGACGAACCTCTGAGTCATCATTATGTCCATTAAGAAGAAAATCGCTACAATTCTTTCTACATCCGTGGTCGTAAGGATTGCGAAAGCGGCCATCCGTGCCTTTCAGGTAGTTGTACCGAAGAGAGTTGGTCATCTCGTTTGTGGTAATGTTCCGGGCAATCTGCGAAAAATGACAAGAAAAATTTAGAAAGTCGTGAGAAAAGCTCATGTAGTCACGAAGTCATCTGGTCTACTCTGATGCAGAAAGAAAACCACAGGAAACTGACCTGGGCTGCCTGCATGCCGGTCAAAGTAGCAACCCCGAAAAAGAGGAAAACATCAAAGAGCAGAAAGGCAAGTGCTCCTGGGTGGTTGGCTCCGACATGACGAAGCCAAGGTCCTGTGCCACCAGGAGCATGTGGGTCCATGTACAGACCTGCAAAATTGCCCTCAGTCAGGAAGCAGTACATCTTATACCAGTAAAGAAAGAATAATACGCGAAAAGATCTTGAATGGGCAAAAAAGTCTTAATGACGTACGATTGATGGTCACCGAAGCTCCAATTATCATCGCACACGTCTCCATCACCAAAAACACGAAAAAGTCCCACTTGTTCATCTGCGCAATCCATGTAAACCCATAACAACAGATCATGAAACATGCGAATGCAGTAGAATCCACGCGTGCACGATTAAATCAACATTTGTTCCATGGTGCAGTATAATACACGTTTGATGTGATTTGTTTCTCAAGATGTCGGAACGATTCTCGTCCATAATCAACTGTAAGCGTACCTTTCCAACACAGTTGGATATCCAGGGACAGTGATGATCAAATTGCTCAACACATCGATTGCAGGATGCACAATGCTTCGAGCGCAGCGGCCTCACTATCTGAAGCCACAAGAGAAACCAACATCAGAATTACGATCCTTTAGATAAATAAAAGGGGACTGAAGGCCAATGTGAATTGAGAAGTAGTTCACATGCACGTCCCATCAAATGACCAGGTACCTAGAAGATATGGTAAAACTTAGACTAACAGTAGAAAGAACTAGAAAACTTACCTTACACGTGGGACACAACTGCGCCCAGTAGCCAGCTGCTAGAGCGGGATTACTGAAATCGGGTTTTAACAAAGGGTCCTGCACACAGCAACTTCACATTAGCAGACGTTTGCTACATCATGAATAAAACACAGTTGAAAAATCTTCCCTTCAACTCAATTACAGCACAGATTCAATTGATATATTGAACGTAGCCCAAATACTCCAGTGTAACCAACATGCGACACGACACGGCAGTATGCCTGAAACTTAAATCCAAACCCAATAGCAGCGTGTCTAATTTATATCACACAAGGTGGTTTTGGCGTAAAAGTACAGTGGTTACCTCCACGCCCTTTTGGTCCGGAGAGGAGCGAATTATGTATCCAGGATCCTTACTGCAATAAATTAAGTACCCCACACACTGTGCATCAATAACAGACCTTGACATACTGACCTTCAAACGCTCTAAACAATATATGGAACGCAATATGCACTGGGAGGCAACTTTTAAAAGGCCGAGAACTCTTAGATATCTATAAGGACTCTCGTATCAATGATTCACGTCAACGGAAAATTGATCGTCTTGGTTCACCTGCTGCATCGGTAGAGAAGGAAGAGTCCTCCAGTGGCTAAAAATACCGTCATCCAAGCCCATGCTCCAACACCAGCAGTTATCCTTACCATTGACGGTGCTGAGATATAAACAAAAAATGGGAAATTCAGTTTCAAAATGCGACGCGGACGAGGTAAAAATTAGAAAAGACTTTCAATAATATGGTGTACGGACCAAAAATGTAATTTCATTGGCATACGTGACCTGAGACAATCTTTCACTTAAAACGAGATGGCATGCCATTTGTGAACTGCTCTACAGAAAAGAGAAGCCTACAATATCGAGAATGGAAATCCGTGATAAAGTAAACAACTGCAAATGTGAACTAAAAAGCTGGGACAAAAAATAAACCTCGTCAATCCAGAGAGAACAAACTTACATATTATGACAGAGTTTGTGAACGTGATGACCATAGCTAAAATGCACACCCACAAAACAGGCGCGAGTCCCATCTTTTGAATTCTGCCTAACCGCCCTTTCCCATCCCACCGATTATTGTAAATCCTCCTTGCGTTTGACTGCGGATACAACAAAAACACATAGTCAGCTTGACAGTATCCTCCAAACCTCAAGTAAATGCCAAGATTTCTCTAGACCACTACATCGTGTACCATCCAGCTAAACCAGTTTGAAATGTAGAGTGGATAACAGTCCTCGCAATAGATGTATCAACCAAAATGATTCTACGGGAGCAGTCCACATTCGATAATTCGTAGAGATCATGATCTCTACGAATTATCTCTACGAACACGAACACAGGAGTTGGTAGACAGTCCACAGCAATACGACTTGAGATAGATATGCACAACTAATAGAGGGATATATATATATCACCTCTTAGATGACCCTTGATACCTCTGAATTTTCCCTCTACGTAAAGTACTCCTTTTCTTGACATGTAGTAAAAGGAGCAGCAGCTTACGGACGTTGCGAAAGAACACTTACCAAGAAAAGAGCAACATGACGATGACCTTTGTCAGAGGCAAGCTGGGCCGCAGTACATCCAGTGGCTTCTGTTGTCATCAAATCTTCCAAACTGCCTGCTTGTACAAGGACTGTGCAAGCTTCCAGATTGCCTCTGATAGCCGCCCAGTGCAACGGTGTACAACCTGATGGTTCCACAAGTTTCAAAAGTACGTTAGCCAACGGCACATAAATGTATTATGCATCATCCAGATAACACCACACAACGAACAACTAGGATTTAGAAATAGTGAACCCAAAAACACACACACGCACACAAAATTTACATTGACATCTAATGCTCTAGTCTGATCTGTAAGACAAGTAAGCTCACTAGTGACACAAAGAACTGTTGCTGTTGTTAACTCTCTGACGAATGATGGATATGATGTGATAAGTTTTCAAGAAGGCCAAAGGCTCTAAAAATCGCCTTCTAAGTAGAGCTCTAATTTTCTGTCGTGGAGCCAGCATGTAAGGAATGTTCGCATCAATGTAAAGAAAGCCAGCAGGTAGCGACGTAGAGCTTCTTTCGATTCTCTTTCTTGGCGCAGAGCATTGCCAACCATCTCGAGGAGCTCATCTAGCTGGCTAACATTCCATACGACATCCTGAACTCTTGACTTTCGGCATCATGGAGACTGTAAACGAACATAAAATCTCTAGAAAATACGCACAATGGATTGAAGTCCAAAGCATCAGCCAATAAAGAAATAGAAGGTTGATTTTTTTTTACAAAAAAGGCCTAAGTGTTTTTCATGTATTGAAAGGCAGAAATGTACCGACAGTGTGACAAGTATATTAGTGTTCGGAGCGATTAAAAAAATTTGTGGTGAGTGCGAGTGAGGTCATCGCGTATGCAATGCACCAGGTCATTCATCACTGGCGAAAACCAAACAAAGAAACAGGTTGACCGTGTGCCGCGTGTAAAACAAATGAAACAAGTTTTAATTTTAAAAAGCACAAAATATTAATTTACCTTCCTTATCTTGTCGTCCCAGGTACGCGTCCATGAATAAAAGATATCGTATGCAATCAGCAAAACCTTTATATGCAGCCCTGAATAGACACAACCATAAAACCACTAAACGTCTCAACCTTATTCGATGTTGTATCATCAGCATTATCAATACAACTGAGCATTCTGAGCAATTCATCGAAGCGACGAGAAAGATGTACAACACAAAACCTGAAAACATTATAATTCGCCATCCTACGATAGGCGTACTGTAACACAAAGAAAAGTTCATATCAAATTCGTTAACTCGTACTGGAAATTACCAATGCAAAGGGCTGCGTCCATCATTGTCTGGAGGATCAACATCTGCGTTCCATTTGGTCACGAGGTGATACAGCAAAGAAGTCTGCCCGTATTGCGCAGCGACATGGCTAGTCTGTAGCCACAGAACGACTTAGACGTGAGTTGGCTCGTTTGAAGCTGTATCAAATGCCTCTAATGCCCGCTGGTGCGTTGTATACTGAACGTCATAAATACCGATCCCAACTGAACAGATATAATTGCAAATGTTAATACTGGTGGAGCATGATGAAGCAAGTACCCGATAGCCGTGAGAGTCATATATTTCGAGGCGGGCTCCATGTTCAAGTAAGAGTTCTGCAACCTGCAATGAACCTCGGACGGCCGTCCAGTGCAAAGCTGTTTGCCCCGAAAAGTCTGCGGCATCCACATGAGCTCCATGCTGCAAGAGATAATAATCAGGGCATCAGACCGAGTTAAGGCAGAGAGCTCAACCGCTAATGCATCCAGCCGCAAACATATGTGCTTTGCGACTAAAATTCATCAACTAAAAACCCTTAGCAGAGTCTGAAGGAACCCCACGCCAATTCGTTCCCACTTAATAAACCAAACGTTACAAACAGGTTCAGGGGAAACACTACCCGAGGAGCATTAACATATAGAAGTCTACAGAGGGTTCTACAATTTAGCTTCGAGCCCATTCGGTAAGGCTAAGCGCATCCTTTCCTAATCCACACTACATTGTGCGCAGGCGAATAAAATCTTGAAAGACCACAAACTACATATAAACTAAGAGGCAAGCAACTGAGCCCAATGTATTTAGAGCACGGCTGAAGCAAAGAACACAGGCCGTCTCGTTAAAAGGTTGCTTGAGGATATGTTGATACGGTTATTGGATTGCTGTCGTTCCAGACCATGGTATTGGACAACTGCCTGCAACTGACTGAATGAAACACCTTTCTTATTTCTGGCCATCAGAATTCGTCAACACATTTGTCATGGTCAATGAAACAGAGGCTATTGACATTCCTCTCGCAACGACAAAAATCACGAGATTAGGCTGAGCGCCTGAGACCTACGTCGACTTCAAGTCTTCGCCGGCTCGTGTTCCAATACCAAGTGGACGATGATCTTCACTAAAAACACAAAGTCTTAAGGCTCACGTCGGAGAGATTGCTGAGATGCTTCTTTGCAGATACGTTTAGTCGTGCATTCAGCTCTTCTTGACTTCAGACCAAAAGGAAATAGAACTGCAATTGGGAAGGTCAGTGTTGACACAACAGACTATCACACGTAAGATCGGCTTCACGAGAAATCCTGTGAATACCCTGGTCTATATTGGTGTGGTCTCTGTTCTTCAGACTAACACCGCTTTCGGCAAAGAAATGAATGTTGCAGAAAATAGGGGCAGAGTTATAACCTCCAACAGGTATTGCGCTGCAGCCGCACGATTGTTCAATGCACTCCATTGCAAGGCATAATATCCACTCGCGTCTGGTTCCGAAACTGAACATCCCTCTTCCTCGACCAGGCGTTTCAATTTCTCCAAATCCCCATATGCAGCAGCTGTGTACACATCGTTTCTACGCTGATTCTCCTCTTCCTGAGACTTGGCAAAATTGATTCCCTCACTGGCTGCCGCTTCGCTCTCCCGGGTTGGAGTCTCCGCCAGGATTTCAATCTCCGACGCCATTCTACTGAAACCTTCGACGTGCTTCACCTCACGACGATCCTACGCATTTGTCTGTACAAATTCGTGGGGCAGAGCCTCAGACGACAAAGATCGATCACCTGGAAGAAAGTTCCGGAGAAGAGCGTCGCAAATCGTCTCAGCTTTCTCAAACCTCGCGTCTCAGAAGGGACAACACTCAAGTCCATAACAGAGTGCAACAGCCAACCTACCTCGTGTTGACCGTCTTACTCACTACCCTACAGCCCCAAAGGAGTGACCGTGAAAACCACAACCTCGATCATCCATCCGCCCGTACCAAGGCCCCTTTTCACAACCTAGACACCAGGTGCTGAAGCCGGTAATCCAACAAGCAATCACCTCGCAGAAAATGCCCACAACCAAACATCCAAACTGCCAACACGGACGAGTTCGCAACGAACCTGTACTCGGACACTATACAAAAGACACAAGCGGAAGAGGAGAAGGTCTTCCAAGGCAAAACTCCTCGCGCAGCGGATATAAACACACGTACCTCTAGAAAAGCCACGGGAGAGAGAGTCCAGTCGACCCTGTACCACCTGCTCCCTCGTGCTGCATCGCCTGGCCTGCTTTTCCTTGCACACGCTCCTCTTCTAAAGCCCTAACAGGCAGGAGAGAAGGCGAAGCCACTACCGCGCGCTCAGCTTACAACAAGACGCCCGTCCTGCATCCATCCCCGTCCGAATCCACCATTGTCGACGAGAGTTCATACATCCATCGCGATTTCGAACACACACACGCACTTCACACCATTCGACCTCGCCTCGCCTCGCCTGCTCTGCTCTGCTCTGTCCTGTCCGGTCCGGTCCGGTCGGGTTCCGCCCCGGGCCGACTCGACCCCTCCCGTCCCTCGGCCGGCAGACGCAAGCACACCCGCCCACCCACCTGCTTCCGGAGATGGAGAAGGAGCTTGTTCTCGCTCGTTGCCTGTTGCCCTCGCCTCGCCTCGCCTTGCCTGCCGACGTTCTCCCTGGACTTGCTCCGGCCGTTGCGCGGCCGAGTCGTCGTCCGCGTCAGTGGTCAGTCGTCGTCGATGGCTCCAGTGTTTGCCGCTGCCATAAATATGGAAAGCGAGGAGGGCCAAGTCTTCATGCTCCCTCTCAGCTCAGCTCCTCCTCTCCTCGCGCACAAGTTGACAGGGAATGGATTGTGCCCTCCCTCTTGCCGGAGGATCCTTCCTTCTACTTCTTGTTACAGAGCTGCTGCGTGAGTGCTACCCTTCCTTCGCTTCCTGCGCGTCCATCATTCCCTTGCCCTCCCGTCACGCGAGTCAACGCCAAGCCCGAACGACGCGTCCCGATCCTTGTAGCTTGCGGCAGAGGCTACAGCGCAGGCGAGCGTCTCCGACATGTTCGCAGGCGGGGAAGATCGGCGGTGGGGCCCTCGCGCTCGCTCCTTTTTAGAGAGAAAGATAGCGACGACCGCCTGCCGCTAGCCTGCAATCGATCGTGGACGAAGGCCCGGCGCTCACGTGAGCTGCAGGGAGGGAGGGCGCATGCGATCTGCGCCCCGAGGGCCAAGCGCGGCTGCGGACCAGCGGGACGGTCACCCGCGCCTGTCCAGAGGTCGTGCATGGTCATTGCCTCTTTCCGACCTCCAGCCCTTTCCCGTCGCTCTCCCATCTCGCGACCGCTGGATCCCTCGCGCTGGGAATGCGTAATCCTCTTGCTTGCAATCTTTGCACACGCAGCAAGCGGCCTTCCAGAGCATTCTGTGCAGAGTCATACGTTATCCCGCGGAGAAAGCCAGTGGAGGCTTCAGTGTAACGGTCGGTCGGTCTGCTTTTCAGATAACGACAGTCTTCTACGTGGTTGACAGCCTTGTACCCGGTTGAGCCCATGATGCGGTGGAGCTCAGTCCACAGCAGGAGCCTGAGCACGTATTATGCTCTTCCGTCACCGGTTTCTCGTCGGTAATGGCACATGCTTATTCACGTTCCGCCTACGCCGCTGAGGACATCTCATTGTTCTTGTTGAGGATCCTGCTCCCGTGCCTTTGAATAGTGGGTGGCATATACATCGCACTGGTCCTTAGTAGTCGGAACTTGCTCGGACACGAACGTGGTTCTTCCGATTTGTTTTCACACCAAAAACGGAGCAGGGCTTCCGTGCGTGCTTGAGACGTTTCCACCCGGGACGTCAATTGTCGGATCCACGGGTATCTAAATGACCGGCTTTCAATACAACTGTGGCCCAGATAAAAGAAATACACTTGAGCCGAATTTACTTCCGACTGCAGTAACTGGGTTACCACAGTTCGCGGCGAGAGAAGGCGTGACTGAGACTGGTTGAGGTCAGCGGGAACGGTGACACCCCTCATCGTGAGGATATAACACATGTAGTCACATATATTCACGAGGATGACATATGATATTGTCATACTTCGGGCCCATCCTAGATTCCGAAGATACCATTGCCAACCAACCACAAATATCAGCTAAGCACAATCGATCTGCGATCTCAAGACAGAATCTCCGAAAGAATCTGAATGCTACTTGAGGATGGTCCGATATTTGGATCTAGATGGGTCTGTTGACGCCAAGAACCTCCTGGAATATATAGATGTCCTCGGAACGCCACTCAAACCAGTTCCCCGGCGTGCTGCATCGTCAATCTATCAAGAAATTTCCTTTCTGTTGATGAGGTTGTCATGTCGTGCCGTCGCCTGGAGTGACCCACAGAAACTAGAAAAACTGAAGTCATCCACATCGGCAGCCATGCTCCAATGCCCCACCGAAATGAACTGATGAAAGCAAAAAAGTGTGAAGTCTAGGCACTGTAACAGGACGCTGGAAGCTAGACGAAATTAGAAATACCAAATCTTACGAAAAATGAGACAGAAACGAAAGGTCGCATATAACAGCCAGTCAAGATAGACGCATGAAGAGAGAAGGAACAAATTTGTCGAAATCAGGTCTTTGCGTAGAAGTTCGGAAAACCAAAAGCATTCTACCATAAGAAAAAACACCTGAGATACTAAGCAGTCCACACAATCATGGCATCGATGGACACATATCAAACCTGTAAGTAACCTACAATATACAACTCTTAAATAGAAGGCATGCGAAATTTGTGCATTTGTACATCTTACTAGGAACCCCAAGGAAGTCGAGAGGAACGCATGATGGAAATGTGATCCTGAAATCTTCCTTGTGGCTTCAACTCTGCGTTACCAACGGCTTAGTGGTGGGATTCCTTTTCCAGAACCTAAGCCTACCACCAAGTCATGCACTTTGCTTCCACCGATGCTCTGTAGCCCAGAGTCGTCCTCATCGTCAATGTCTTCATCGTCATCTTGACCTGATGGAACTAACTCATCTACTTCATGGTCATCGGACACATCCTCTCCGCCATATTCCCCCCATTCTGATATTACCTTCGAGTTCGACCTCCCTACAGCGCCGCTATAATTCAGTAGCCTTTCTTCAAACGAACAATTTCGGTCATCTGCCGCTGCAGCCCAGTCTTCTGCGACAGTATCTGCGGTTATGCCTGAGTGACAATTATTTTCCACAGGTTCACCAGCATGTCCTGTAATTTTAACCTCATAACCTGACGAGTTTGGAGTCATATCTACCACAATGCCGTTCTTCTCCAATCCATGCGCCTCTCCGTTAACTCCATTTTCCAGGCCTACCTCTGGGTGGAACGTCGACCTATACGGATCTCCGTAGCCCAGTGTTTTGCTTTCACTTGTATCTGTGGCACACGCATCCGGTTCAAATACGTTCCTAACTGAAGTACTGTCAAACATGCTCTTGTTCTCATCGATTTCGGAGACGACCTTCGTCTCGCTCTTCCTGCCCGTTTTACCTGATGTGCCTAAGTTCTTATCGTCAACTTCACATTCTTTTTCTTCACTCTTGTCTTCACTTTTAGCTGCACCTTCTGCCGCTGTTTTATCAACAGTAGGCTTCCCTCCACGCTTTGAGGCACTGGAGTCATTGTTGTTCAAACCACCGGGCTTCTTATGTCTAACCCTTTTAGCCGGTTGTTGTAAACCGGCGGGAACAGCGGCAGCATCCCCTTGCACGTCAGCTTGACCTCTAAAAGCATGCAATTCTCCTTCCAGTTGCATCACTTTATTGCGTAAAGCACACAGCTCAGCCTCTGCTCTAGCCAAAGAACTCCATACTTGTATGTTCTCACAAGACTGAAACCACAGAAAAGGATTGAATACAGGATTAGATGAAGGTAATACTGAACCTAAATACATTCAATTGAGTTTATTACATGCTTCAATTCAGATTTATACATGCTCAGCGTGTCGTTCCTGACCGTTGGTCTTCACTTATTCACATTTCTTTTGTATCACCAAACGAAAGTGATTCTAAATATCCAAACGTAAGAAGATAACGATGATTTATTACCTCTAAAGTCATTGCATAGACAGAACAAAGTGTTAAAAGCTGTCCCAGCTTAGATAAACTACCTGTGCTTCCCACAACCGTCGATGTTTCTGAGAGAGTCCGGGAGGTGACTTTATATGGCCTCTCTGAAAAGGCAATGGAGGAGCCCCATTAGCAGCTGGTTGAGGACCAAAACCGTAAGCTGGTCCATAGCCTTGATAAGGACCGTATCCACCTGGAAAGACAGGAGGTTGTTGTGCTGGATTTCCTCCCCACCATGACTGGTCAGGCCATGCTCCTGTGTCAAAAGATCAGCTTTGAATCACTACTCATAAGATAAGTCAAAACTAAGGCCTTCTTGTCTTTGTCTTTGCACATGATCTAGATATTTGCTGGGACTTGTAACATATCCAAACTAAATATTCCGAGAGGATCGAGAAAAATTCCAGACGATTATTCCAAGACACCTAACAAGCAAGATCATCCCCAATCTGGGTTCTGTAAAGCCGAAATCGCAAACTAACATACTTCTACCTGGCAGTAAATCCAGGTATTGCAACATGTTTACTTTATCCCGTGTTCCCTCACTCATGATCATATGCATGAAAGCAAGAACCTCACATTTTTCTTAAACGTGAAATGACAATTTCCCAATTTCCCAATTTCATTTGAACTTGGAAATCTCTAAATCGAGTAGGTGATGACCTGTTGTTAGTAACACACATTCGCCTCTAGATCAAACCATCTTTCCTAGTTTTCAACAATTCATATGAATCGTTGTCCGGCTTGTTCGTCCAGAATGACATGTCAAATTTCTGAAAATAGAAGGAGCTCATGATTCCAAGCTTGACTTTAAAGCCAGATTAAAGAGAATCTGCACAGATTTTGCTTATATAACAGCAGCAATTTCCATTACAACATACCTGTGTAAGCTGTTTGTCCGACAGCTCCAGGGTAGGCAAAGGGACCTGGGTATCCGTATGGTAAACCGTTTGGTACACTCGGAGCACCTGGATATGTAGGGCCCTGCCAGTTGGAATCTGTCGAGCTACCTGGAAAAGGATAATACTGTCCACCTGAGGATTGAGGAGGAAACTCGGATCCACCCCAGTAGGGAGTGGGAGGCTGCCCTCCTTGAGTCTGCGCTGGCCCTTGTTGCTGCTGTCCTTGCTGCTGTTGTCCTTGAGGCTGCTGTTGATGTAACTGGGATTGCAAAGGTTGCCCTTGAGATAGTGAAGGTTGAGGTTGTGATGGAGGTACGAATGGTGGAGGCTGCTGTGCAGGAGGATATTGCCAGTGGCCGACAGGAGGGTATGGCTGAGAAGGAGAAAAGGGCAAAACAGGAGGTGCTGAACCAGAAAGCAACAACTTCTTGGCCGGGCCACCCACGACCTGTTCTGCTTCCCTCTGCCGCTTCAATATGTCAACCTGCCACAGCCATAGGAAGATAAAAGACACTGAGTACATGGATCCGATCGTCACAAAGGTTTTACCCAGCGTGTGAAGATCTGCAGATAAGTAGAAAGTTTGCCACTACAAGTAAGCAAAGATATGCATCAGACGTTACTTACAGGAGCCGCAGGTCGTATGGCTTTGTATGTACTACTAGGGACCGTATTCTGCATGTCAAGACAAGAAGGGCTGACTCAGTGGAACGTAGAATCTCAGGTACAACAACTTGACAGTTTTCATCTTCAGGTCCAGATCTTAGATTGATACAAATTACATACACTCCTCTTTTGTAGCGTCCTCTTTTGTAACGTCAGCTGTTAAAAGTATCATGAAGGATCATCCGGCTGAATTATTGCATTCGGCCTACTCACGAATCAACTGGAGTGTCCAAAAGAGTAGTCTGAGACACAATAAAGGTCAGCTAAATGACTACACATACTTCAAAAAATAGATTCTTCTTGTTTTGAGAAGTATACACGAATTACTCTCCTACACGAATTTCCAATCATGAAGTTTAAAAACCTTCACTTCAGGTATCACTTATCAATTATCAATGATGTCACAAGGTTCGGTGTAATACATAGGCCTTAGGGTTCTACGTTTCAGCTGCCAAATGCATGCCCCAAAATCACAGGCAAGGGTTCAAGACAAGTTGAAGCGGGTAAATTCCAGTTCTAAACCTGCACGGATCCACCGTCTGTCTCCCCACCGGAAGCACCGTTGGGAGATGCTTTCTCACGCTTCTTCTTCTTCTCCATCATTCTTCTGCTCTAGTGGGGAACTTTTAAACGCCTGCTCAAAAAAACAGGCCAGCACAATATACTTCAATTCTGGGAAGGTAATCGTCGCATGGCGCCTGCAGCTAAAAGAAAGGCTGGCCAGAATATATTCGGGTCGATTTGAAAGAACAGTATCGAACATAGTTCTGCAACTCGTTGCATGCAGGAAAAACAGGGAGCTACATTCGATAAATTACGACCTCTGGACACATTTTAACGGAGTAGCTACTTCAGATCGAGGAGGGAATAAACAACCAAAACCCGAGGGAGGTTCCAAAAACTTTCATCCTAGAATACAAGAATCGAAGTCCACTGACCTTGGGAACAAAACACCTGAGCCACGTAAACCCCGGCGGCAGCAGCTCCGCCACGGTGGTCATAATAACATCAGAGCCCCAGCCACTTTGAAACCAAGCCCCATTGCTCCGGGGCAATCAATCCCCGGGCTCCATCACTGACTCCCTACTTGATTGCTCCGCGAGCAATCGACCACTCGCTCACTCCTTCCCTCCCTCACGCACTCACACACCCGTCCTTCTTCTTCTTCCTCCTCCTCCTCCTCCTCCTGTGACCAACCACCACGCAGCAGCACTCTCTTCTCGCTCAAATCCACAGACGACGCCGTCGCAGCATCATTTCATTCCTGTCGTCGCCGAGGAAAAGAGTGTGCACCCCACGCTCGACCCTCCATGCCACCACCGATTTCGCTCCAGGACTCGGCCAGGGGATTCGATTCAGTAGACGAGGCCCGCGGTCGTTGTCGTCTTTATGAATTCCCTTGAGCAGCGCAAGCAGCAGAAAGACAAAGACGACCAGCGAGCGCAATGGACAAAGGACGGAACGAACGAAGGGCAAGCGAAAGGAAGGGAGAGGAGGCGCAGGAGGCCAGGCCAGGCCACGGCAGCGCCGGTAGCAAGAGCAGGGACCTAGCCTACTGTAGGTCCCTGTCGTTCGTTCTTTCTTGCCGCCAGTTCCCGGCAACCTGGGAGGGCCACCAATCCGGGCTCCTGAACCCGTCTTTGCCGGGCGTTTTCACCGTGCCGTTTATTTGCTGCTTGCTGTTTCCCGGCGCTCGCGGTGATGCGCTTCGGCACGGCTCGCGAGGCTCGGACTCTGGCCTTCGTTCGGACACACGACAGAGGCAGAGCAAAGGAGCGCTGCTGAATTGAAGGCAGCGGATAGCGAGGGCGGTGGGGTGCAACTGTTGCAGCTCCAATTTGCACGAGTGTGCTATAAATGGGGTCCGCGACTAGTGATGGCCACAGGCGGTTTCCGGTTGTGGTACGCTTGGTAATGGAGCTCCACTTGCAATAGCCCGACAAAATGCCATACTTTACTCAGTATGACAGGACGGTGACCGGTTTCTTGACCGAAGCGTGACACGTGCGACTTGAGAAGGAATGTTCTCATCTCACGTACTACTGTTATAAGAAATGTCTTTTGATATTTCATTGATCTTTTTTCACTCTAAGCAAATTTGTTTTTAACTTTTACATCTTTTCTCTAGTTTTCAAGTTTCTTCATATGAAGTATAATTATCACAATTTTTATTTACAGATTCACATGACGTCGCTCATCTTAATTATCATGTAAGTGATTTCCATCAACCAATCTCAGTTTTCTCGAACCATGACTTTATCCAGTGTAATAAAGATGTCATATTCTTGGTTTCAAGCATCCCTCCACTTAAGCATGAAATTATAGGGGTTATATTCCCTTCTAGGACATCCTCATCCCTATTTGCTAAGCAACTGCGTTTGATGACACTAGAACTTTATCCCCTTTCTTTCGCATGAGGAGCGATGTGCACTATGGTCCATGACTGGGGATGCAATGATCTGGTCTATGTTCCAGGATGTTAGAAGAGAAGTGGAATTTCATACTTCAAATGTTTCCATTGAGCGGATCTTATGCATAACACGACGAATCAATCACAGCACATTATGATAAATATTTTATCTTCTACATATGATTACACACCTTCGGCCACTGAAATACCTGATATAATCATCCTTATCGCCACCCTTATGCGTTGACATAATCAACCAATTCCGACAACAATAAATTAACAGGATGAGGAAGATGCATCTGCATGTACATACTTACGACTTGTATTGTCATTGGATATCGACAACCTTACAACTCTTTCATGCCTTCCACTAGTGTTACGACTTAATATGTTGGATGTGACTCTAGGCCACATTACAGTACGCCATGAAATATACGTGCTGTATTACTGTTTGCATGTAATACGTTACGTAAATTAGGGGATGACTACTACCATCTGAAGATCAGATGTTTAATTTCCTCTTATCTTCTCTTTTATGTCCTAACAGTTTTTTCCTGCATACTCATATACATTTTTTGCTCGTTTTCAAACTTTGGAATGGATGTCTCAAACAGGTAATCTATCTTTATTGGTTAGAAGCTATACCGCACTCAGAGAAGAGTTGACAACTTTGTTTGCATGAAATCCCTCTTCTTATAATCTTATTGGTGTATCTTTCGTTTCAACCAGAATTTTGGGACATGAGGAATCATTGGCATTAAAGGAAATTCTTGGTAGAAATCTACAGATGTAACATATACTGCACGACTTGATGGAATTTTCCCTTCTTTTTACTGCTACTCGCTCCTCTCCTCCTAAAGATTATCATACACTGAAGTGTTCGTAATTTAACCAAATTACTGAACCAAGATAAGCTGTAGTATCTCGTCCTTCAGACTTCTCGTAATCGGATGTAAAAGAATATTGCCATCTGCTGGCTTGTCAAAGTCCACTACGGTGCACTACTATCAATCTCGCTTCAGAGTATTTGGATGTCTTCTTGTCTTCCGAACTATATTATTATTCATGGTCCAAGATGACCCCAAAAAAATACGGCAACGTTGCCCTGAGATGACATCAAATCCGAGCTGGCTGCCACGCCTGCAAGAATCCAAGGGTCACTGTTCCACGTCACTTCTTGATTGATGTTTTCCAACTGGGAAATATGTCCCCATTAAAACGCAGGGTTTCTGTCGCTAAGCTCTTCTAACATAATCATCTCTTGTAACATAATCTACTGCCTTATACTCATAAATATCAGGCCTGGTGCATAGGATAATCATCTAATAATTACGAAAGGTTCGAATTACTGAATTCGTGGCAATCTTACACAGTGATTGCTCGTTGACTACATTAAGTTTCCGACAAGAATTTTCCCGTTTCGATCTTGTGCTGGCAACAACCAGTGGTATGTACAAACAAACACATTCTTTTGCACTGTCCAGATCCCATCTCTTGGTCTTGGAGATGGGAATTCTCGCTCTTCATAAACATCCGTTGCCATGTGCTCCAATCAATGACTTCGAACTCAAACTCAGGAGATTTGAGTTCGGACGAGTTCCATTATAATAGCTGTCACTTATACAACAAAATGCGGACCATGAACTGTGAAAGGTGACCACAAAGACGAAATCAGATTTAACCGACGTAAAATTCTTTTATCCTACTTTAGGGACGCTAATGTATGTATCAACAGCCACGAAGACATATCACTCTGCCCATATGCTTCTGACTTTGAACAATAAGTACAGCAGGAGGGCATGGAGCTCCTTGAAAGAACATATGTTCATTATACAGGTCATCTCACTGAAGGCCGAAACCGGTGGAGTTTTGAATTGCCACTTTCAAGCGATTCTCGAGTTTTGCTTTACCGCTGTATTCCGGCAATAAAAGAATGTTGAAACAAGTTTGTGCTGTTGGTAATCTACACAACATGGCGAACAGATATTTATTAGTTCTAGTTTTAAAATCCATGATCGAAAATGGATACTATCTGTAGCGACCTTGCATACTGCTTGCTCTATAAATAGCCTTGTATATATAGGATGGCGTAAAAAAACAAATTACCTGTTTGTGTCGTCCCCATTTTTCTGAATTATGAATTTGAGACAGGCAAGACCGCCAATAGGTGCCCGGTCATTGCCTGTAGAAAAAAATAGAAGTTGTTTCTTTTCTTCCAAAGGCATTGCTCTAACCTGCCAACATGAAACCAAAAACTCAGACTTGTCTGTGCAGTGGGAATAGTACACATGCACACACAGATGTATTTTTGCGATGGGATCAATTAGAAAAAAGTTGAAAAAAAGTTGAAAGGACATTTCATTTATGGTACTCTTACCAATTCCCAAAACCAGATAATTATCCTGCTATTTTTTGTATAACCTCCTTGATATACTGTCACGCGTTCCAGGGCCTTAAAGCATAAATTACAAGTAATTAGTAGACATAGACATGAACTTTTGCAGATTCAGTCCTCCATAGAAAAGACTAGGCACTCCGACTAAGCTACAGTAGAAAGAGATTGATGCATCGACCGCAGACTTCAATTCATGTCTGGATCATCTTCATGTACGAAGCAACAACACAGGAGAACATCCTCACATCCTACTTACAAAGTCCCACATAATATTACATGGGTTGAAGAGCTTACATCAAAGTCGAAGTGAGGAAGTCCACAAATCAACAACTCAAGCTCTTCATATCGAAAAAGGGACAAAGCTCGTCCCAAACACACCTGACAGTTGATGTATAGCGCCAGTAAGATGATAACATTGTATTGATGCTTCAATCAGTGGATGATCTAACCAAATCGCTATTCGAGGAGATGCCACAGATTCTTGATGAAAGCAGCCTTAACAAAAAGGAGGACCATCAAACATGACAATTGGCGACGGTGGTGGATGTACCTGCATGAAACCTTCCTTGAAAGAACTAAATTGTTTGTCGATGGATTCCTCTAACAGGTAATGTACATAAAGATCCACGTATCTGATCCAATTCAAACGTTCCTATTTTAGTGATAAATTTCGCGATACAGAAGAACAGGCATAAACACCAACGGCATACGCCAGGTCTGTCCAGTATGTCTGACCACAATGGAACTGAAGTGCATAAACTCAAAGCTCAACAATCATTGCAAGATAGGTATACTATCAGTAGAATAATAGTGCTAAAGTAATGAAACCACCAACTTTTGTGACCATTATTCAAAGGATCCAGAATGCACACATATGCAGAGTTTAGCATTTTAAGCATAGAAAGTCAAATGCAAGAAACCTACGTCAAACACTTACTAAGGTACTGATAATGAAAAGCATCAAAACCCACATCTACCTCTTTCTGTTGTCCTTCGTTACAGGAATGTTGGACCCGCCCGGTATAAGATCATGTGTTTTTATTTCCCCAAAAAATTCGTACTCAACCTGAAAAAAATATACTCCCAACGTGCAGGGTCAGAGGTCCTCACTGTTTCACAATTTGGAGTATCTTTTCAACCAGAATGGAGGAAAGATTGAAATATCGCTATGAAAGAGCTCAATACAGTCTTCTCTTGCATGTGACAAGGTTCTTATGAAATGCAATCTGTACGACGAGAGACACGAGAAAGTGGAGTCAATATGAAATAATTAACCTGAAATGTCAAACAGAAGGTTCCTTCCACGTCTCCATCAAAGTCAAGCAGTTGCTGCAGACCTCGAAAGAGTTGAGGTTGCACGTCTTTTAGATCATCCAACTGCATTTCTTTCCCCATCACTTTCTTGTAGACAGTCTGAGGAAGGCGTTTCAGAGTAAACTGTAATCGTAAGTGCTTGTATGTCATAGCTATAACAAGGTTGTGCGAACCTAGAAGTATTTAAATCAGCTACCCTCGCTATGAACGGCTGAAAGTGCTACCCTAGCACTTTCAGCCGTCACTGCTAGTTAACAGAGATGATAATTCAAAGGAGCGTTGAAACCAAGCATCCAAGACACGACTCTTTGTAAAAATTACGTTCTTCTGTCACCCAAAGGATAATATTAAGGAATATGTTGCCTGATTTTCTTTTCCTCTGGTGTCTTTAAATCAACCGTCTACAAGATGTATTGCTGAAGCGACTCAAAAGCAATCCCTAGACTGAAACCAATTTGAATGTATAGTCAGTGATATACGTAAAGGAAAAGAAAGAACATTACCAACGGGAAGTGCACGTCCAGAATGACACCATTGTGGATAGCAAGGCCTAACACTATTCCGACCTGTAAAGTTCAAAGATGTTTCACAATAATTAAATTTCTCCAGTGACGGAAACACAAGACTAAGCCATGGAGGACATGAGGGCATAGGCTACAAAAGGGAGCTTGATTACATACAGAAAGCTTTGTGATACTAATTCAGCCAGCAATAGGAGAAAGAAAAAAAACAGAGCAAGAAAATCTTCGGTTCAAACGAGAAAGTTGAACCCTCCTCTGGGCAAGGACCAATAATATGTTACCTCATTCAATTCTCACTACTTTCTGTTAAAAGTACAGGCCACATTTACCATCATACCAATTATAAACTGCAATATCTCTCACCAGACGAAATTCATTGGCTGACTCCATCGAATTCCGATTGAACCATAATGTTCGTGATTCTTCAATGTAGGTAAACATGCCTGGAAATAAAACGTTCGGAAAAGGGCCTTCAAAGGATGAACGAACCAGTGAACTGAAGTAAACACGTTCTCTCAAATTTACCAAAAAGGGAGAAGCATTTGCGTACAAGGTAAGAACTAGCAGAAATTTTGAGCGCACTTCAACCTTCAGTCGATGCCACGTAGAATATTTTCACGATTCAATATAACAGGGGCTTCACAAACGGTAATAAGATAGAGTGTAAAGAAACTCACCGAAACTCACGTTAAACAAATCACGAACCAACAGTTGGAAAAATTCTTTCGTCACCCCTCCCTCATCAATACCAGCTTCGCCATCGAACACGACCTGTTTGCCGAACATGAAGTTAATACAAAGAGCATGCAAGAACACATGAACAGAGTAAAAAACACGCAAAGTATTTAAAAAGGAAGACTTATTTATACTTCAGATGGCACGATTCGTCAGGCCTTCACATTGTAAGAGTTTGTGAAGATAATGTATTCTAGAAGAAGAAAGAACTGACCTTCAGGGGCTTTTTCAACTCTTGCACATTGTACGAGGCCAATTGTTGCAAGGTATCTCTGATTAGTTCACTTCTCCTCACCTAACAGCATTCGGGAGATATTCATCGTTATGCAGGTCAATGATCAAACAAGTGCCTTCGTATATATTCACCAACTCTAAAACTATACTGTTCCGAGAGCAAGGCAAAAAGTCTTCATAGACCGTAATTATTCCAAGTTTGGACACAACTGCCAAAATAACTAGGGTATAGAGTGCACAGTCGTATAACCAAACTTGAAAACTTACCGTGAGTACCAAAAAAGGGATGCTAAATTGATTCTTGAAGAGCTGGTCGAGAACAGAGGTCTGCACGTAGTGTTGTTTCTGAATGTTTGCCTCAGCCTGGTAAAGAAATAAATGCTTCAGTCGATAGACAAAATACGCTGTTGATGAATATCATGCAAAAGTGAAAGTCCCAAAAAACACTAATTGTTTGCCCGATGTGACCAGTATTTACATTTATAATACAGAAAATTCGTATTCAGCTTTTGTTCGAATAGGTAGCTTAGACAGATTCTGATTGTCAATTTAATATCGGTCGAGTCATAGTGAAACTATAGATTAGGGTTTGGGCACTAGAATAACCTGCAGTATCTTGCTTTTAGCATCAGGTGTCAGTACATAGGGAACCTGCAACCAATAACAACGGCGAAAAAATAAGTAAAAATCGTACGACAAGCTCTTCCTTTTTGCCGAGCGGAGAGCAGTACAATAGAGACCCTTCGCAATGTATCAGTAAGGATAAAATATCGGAAAGCTTAGTTGATATTATCAATCAATGAGTACGGCACTATATTGAGTAGTTTGTTCTAGATTAACTAGCAAAATCCATGCATAGGTCGCTTAAAATTAAAATTACCTGACAATAAGATATTAAGGGCTTGCTCTTGGGAAAATCGTATTCTAGCCACTTTACATACTGTTCCTGAAAGAAATTGAAGCAAGCACAAGTATAAGCGGCTAATCACCAAGTTAAGTTCCAGAATCACACCGGAAGAGGAAAAAACGGCCATTGTACAACACAGTCAGCATGCATACATAGTTGCGATAAAGCTCATCACACTGTCCTCTTTATGGATCATCCATACTAACACAAATCCTGCCGACTTGCCGATACTGCAGATAAGATATACCTGAAAGTTTATGCTTTCGCTGATTGCATAGCTATAAAAATCTGAGTATGGAATCAGATTCTCCATCACATTAGCGTCGTGTAACAACGATAGAACCTACAATTCATGGTTACATGTCAAAATGATAGACAACAATTGTGGTTTATAAAAATAAAAGCAATATTCCATCTCGAGTTTTTGGACGAATGCTCGGGTGCGGTACCTGCCGTCTAAATCACTTTCACAAAATTCACGAAGGATCTGAAAATCAGATATAATTTGACCTATGGCATCCATGCTCGACATATAGGATCAGTTACACCTACCTTCAGAGGAGAGATAACCTGAACAGGTATTTTACCTTTCCCACCCCAGACATGCAACCTGGAACAAAATGAACAGTTTTAAAATCACAGGACATAGTAGTGCTGCATAAAGGAACAGACTGAAAAGGACAAGCCCCAACGATCAACATGAATATACTAAAACATATGACGCACAGAATTCTACTATATGAATATCCAGGAATTTTTTAAGGCTGATTTCTCTTCTTTCTTGTCTGCCTCAGATCTCAACGTTGCACTTGTCATAAACGCTACCACACTCAGATATCAACTCAACAATATTGTGATAAAAAGTATACATAAACTTGCTTCCAAACGCTGTGGCCTGGCAGTTGACGAGAATATATTTAACTCGCACGAATAATCAGCCAGGAGATCCTTTCCAGTCAATCTGAATGTGCCTTACATCCTCCAGAAGTATTGGCTTCACCTCATATTTTGTATGCTGAACTATTTAGGCTTTCTTTGATAACTTTCTATTATATATCCAAAGATAAATCCCACAAAGGTGACAAAGGTGCTTATGAAGGTGAGTTCTTGTAAACGGGCAGATAAACCTTGCATAAATCTTACACAGGGTGTCTCAGAATATATAGATTCTAGGATATCAGAACTTTTAGTGTCGGTCAAAAGTTATACACACTTCTCCAGTCACATAACTGCTTACACAGTAACTGCAGCGCAAGCAGTTCTACTGGATCCTCAAGCACTGCCAGAAAACACAATCTGAGTGACCATATTTGTTCAGAAAATTGGGTCCTAAGTCAGGTTAGAATTAGGTACGTCTATAAATAAATGTTTTATCATATTTCTGTAAACAATAATGGATATAGATATTAGACTCTAGGAGCATGTTGTCTGAGAACTTAGAAGAGTTATCATACTACATTGCAATAAAAATAAAATCCAAAGAGGTTCATAAAACCAAAAAAAGGAGTGACTTAGAGTTGGCTGTTCATTAAAAATCTTCTGCACAAAGCAACGGACAATGAACAATTTGAAGTAGTATCAGAAAATTCCTGGATGAAGTAAAAAGTAATCTTACTTATGTGTAATGTATTTCTGTACTCCCCTCACAAATCGACCTCCAAAGATATCTTTTGAATATGTTCGGAGCCACTCGGTTAATTTCTGCACCAGTATCAACCATATATAGGCTGTAAGCTTCAGCCTTTGAATAAGAAACAAAATGCTTCAATGAGTTGTCGTATCGTCACTCATGTGAATAATGGACAACTAATCTTACATCAGAAACGCAGGTACCTCTAACATGCCAAAAATCAAAAGACACTACCAGTCTTCCAAGTTGCTGTAAAAGTTACATTAAAGAGAGCAAACCTTCAAAGCAGATGGTGATAATCGTGCAACTACAGAAAATAACCGAGTTGACACTGACTCTCCGACCCTGAAAATGATCAAATCAAAAATGAAACTGAGACAGGCTTTAAAAAAATTTGATGTGATAAGATACCTCCTAAGAGTCAATAGACTACTGACACTGTTGGGCATGCTGAATGAATCTCCTAGAAAGACGTTAGAATAATGATAGTACTCGCTAGTATTTGTCTATCATGATTTCAGTTCAGCTGTAAAAGCAATAAATGGATAGATACACCATCCAAACCAAGGTGAACCCGTAGGTTCAGGAAATCAAATTTTTCCAATAGCTTGTGCAGGGCAAGGCACTTAAACTTACTGTTTCTCGCCAATGAGAGGACTCTGGAGAATAATTGGAATCACCTGTATAACGCAAACAATAAATAAAAACCCATACAGAACTTCTCGCACAATTGTCGGCAGTAAGATAAAAGTAGGCAGATACAAGTTCCTGATTGTTAATATCGACTCAAGCAGCTGATGAACGGGGAAAAACATAAATTCCAACATATAAGTTGTTCTGGTCTGTCAAGACTTTAAAAGCGTTCAGCCGATCTTAGATGCTGTCGACGAAATTCTCTCTCTTAACAATTACAATAGTTATACACAACTTGAGTTGATAAGAACAAAATCAGCATATTTCAAAAAAACTATGTGCAGAACTTTCGAAACCTGATTTCACACCTATCTTGTTGATGAAGATAGAGTCTTTATTGTGATAAAGGTTAAAGATCCATCGGCTATCAACTAGGTCAGAGCGATGCTTGACTAAGCTTCCTTCAAGCGAACTCATTCGCCGCGCTAATAAAGGTATGATTCTTACAAAATGCATAAGAAATCAGATTTCTGTTTTTCAGTTCCGGGGCTTAGTCATTCAACTGCATCAAAATAAAGATGTTACCTACCCGCAACCATCTGGACTCTGGCACTCGATCCATGTGTTTCTCCATAGTATCAAGCAACCTCATGATCGCTGCACCTATTCTTTTCACAACCTGCATCAAAAGTGGAGGTTTCCACGACAGCCAATAACTTGGAGTGAGTTTGCCTTGACTTACTCATCACTTTCAACATTTGCAAAACAGGGTTGGAAGCACAAGCATCCAGTCGAGGTCTTTATGCAGACAAGCCACACTAAGCAGATACTATTTCCACGTCACACTTGCTTTGCTACAGATTTTCGATGCACATTAGACATTTTTGTTTGGCATTTGAGCTTCCGAATATAATCTATTGCACGAAACTGTTGAGACTTGCACATATACAACTCTGAGATAATTACCTATACATACTCGACAAAATGGAACCCCAATCACTCACAATTGGATTCTATTGTCAATTAATGTCAGACGACCATAGCACTGATTCAGTTACATTTCGATGTGAATGTAGACTGAAATAGTGGTGACTTCTTTAAAGTGGAAAACAAGTAAGGATTGTCTTGTTATAATTATCTTTGTCGCTACGAAGTCATTAGCATCTATGGTTTAAGGTTTTGCTTTTCTGTGCCAATGCTCAAAGTTGTATATATTGCTAGTTTTCTAGTAAACGAATGAACACAAATCATTCCCTCATCACAACTTTGAATGCTGGATTGCTGAGAAATAGGGGTAGAGATAGCACTCTACCTCAATCTCGAGTTGATTTAAAATCAAGAATGTCCAGTGATATCTAGTCTTATCTCAGTGTTGTTTCGTAGCCCATCTGAGAGTAAAAGGGACGGGTAGTAATCTATGGCAGATGCAAGGGAGTCTATTTTACTTGCTGATGTTCAACCACCTCTTCAATAAAGCCCTGCTCAATGTTCTACGATGAGAACTAGAGCACCCATACAGTATCCATGCGATTCTTTCCATAAAGCATTTAGCAGAGATTTCCTAATCAGATATTTAAAGATAATCATCTTGTCACTTTGAGGATCTTAAGGATACTCACAACAATGCAACCTTGAGTTGGTGGAAGGGATTGAATATGCATGAGATATTTGGTCCACGCTCTGATATGTGAGCAATCTCTGATTATTTGCAGATGCAATATACGGTGGGCAGAAATTTCTACCTTGAAGCTTGATGATTTCTTGATAGCTCCTACAAATAACATGGCTGATTCATGTTTTACTAGATTAACTTTTATAACTGAGGAGTCATCAGCCACTGTGATTTAAGGTTTTTTATTTGGCCCAAAGTTGACCTGAAAGTTGTATGTATTATTGTTTTCTCAGTAAAGAGTCAAGTCAAAAAGTTCAAGTTGAAATAATCGTTTCCTCAGATCAAGATAAAACCTTCAAAAGCAGGATTGCTAAGATATGGGGTAGAGTTGGCACTTACACTGAATTCTGAGTTGGTCTTAGTTGAAGAATGGGGAATGCTATCTAGATTCTAACAGAAGTGTTACTCCTCATATCCCACCTGACGGTAGAAGGGAGTGGTAATAAGCTACGGCAAGGGAAAAGAGTCTGACATGCTCTACTCGGGTAAAGACATAATTGAAGTGTGGTAGAATCATCCTTAAGGAGTGATCCATATGTATCACATTATCACATTGATTTTCAAAAGATTCCACACAAGAATCTAAATCAAATACCTCCCTTGTCCCCGTGAATGGCTATTTAAATAGGATGTTAGCAAATGTTAGACTCATTACAATACTCAATGCCGTCATCCTTACAAAGATCAGCTTTGAGTACACCTTTTCACAATGTCCAAAAGAAACATGCGAGGAGCTGGATGTATGGCCGGTAAGATGACAACACTACTATAGCCATGTACAAGAAAGTGGCACCGATAGCAGAAATCCAGCTCTATGCTTCTGAGTGAAGTAGCCTTGGTGTCCAGTTTGGAGACTGCTTCACAATGACCCTACTCCTATTGGCTGACATTGAATCCACACCGACAACAAACTAAAATCAAGTATAGTACCTCGGCATTGTACAGCTCCAAGATTCCCTGGTAAGCATCCCGTATTAACCCGGTGTCTAGGCCCGGCCCTTCCGTTCCTCCCCCTGCACGTAAGCAAAAAAAGTTCAGATACCTTACAAAAGCCTTCCTGACCAGATGAACCCCGACGTGTTTATCACGGGCAGTTACGAACCAGCTCAAAGCTTTTTCGTCATTGCTTCGTGAGAAACTTCCGTAACAATGGAAGATGATACGTAGATTGAACACAGTACTTTTGACGACAACCAAATATTTACTTGCTTAGTTCAAGGTACAAAATAATAACACGCGGCTTTCCATACAGAGTGTTAAATATGATGTATAAGGGTTATCTACCTCCACCCTTTCCTTTTGTACAGACTTCCTCTTCATGGCACTGCTTGAATGTAAAAATAAGAAATTTCACTGAAGCAAAGATGTGTTCCATCGCCTGAGTCAAGTGTAATACTTCCCTTGGCGAAGTCCCTGCTCCCTAAGACAACAAACACGATGATGTATGTTGAAGCGCATAAAGTTTCACCGACAGTAGTGACGGATCCATGATGTTCGTGACAATGAAACCAAGATTGTGAAGGAGAAACGTGACGAACTTAAGCGAAACGTAAGCTTAAACGAACGCTTCACTTAGATCACTGAAGCGTGGAAACAAAACCAGAAACAAATCACAACACGTATACAGATTTGGTGGAGCGAAGTCGTTGAAGTGCATGATTGTCACTTCCTAATACAAGGAAAATTTCTGACCAACGGAAATGGACAAGAACAATTATAATGCATTCGGTGGATCACAGGATACAACCGTCATGAGTACAAACTGAGAATAGATAAAGAGAAGAATAGCATCACAACCTGCTAACACGTGAAATAGAACAAGGCATGGTGTGAATCCATCACAACAAGACCGGTTCAACGTACAAGGAAATGATAGAAAAAAAACAAACTCCTTACACAAAGTTACTACCAGCACATGCAACCAGTACATCATGCAATACACATTACCTTAAGGCCCTCTAGAATTTGCATTATTGGAAGCAGCTTTAACCGTCTAAGGCCTTCTCCATGCACGTTCAACCCATCAGATCTGTCCAAATCGATAGAGTGCTTTTGCAGAAACTGAGTTAGCTCCTCTTCCACGAAAGGATTCCTCGGCTCACATCCCAAGATATCCGATTTACTTGATGCTTCAGTGGGAGTACTTGAAAAGCTTTCAGGTGTATGATCGGAAAACCTTAAGCAGAAACACAGATAAGTCTGAGGCAGGAAATCGGAGTTTTGAGTCATTTACTTCTTGATAACTCATAAAAAACAAACAGAAAAAGCACTCATGATCTACCTTTGTCCTTGTGAGAGTGGGTGCTCGTACACTGCCAGAGTATGCTCTCCTCCAGCCACCACATAGAGAAGTTTTCCAGCATTCTCAGGTCCAGAGAGGAGGATAGGAAACCGCTCTTTGGAACTGGCAAAAATCCCATCACACATGTCCTGTTGTAAATATATATAGGACTCAACTTCAAGTGATTTCAAAGGATCTGAAAAATATGCATTTCGGGCCAAAATAAAAGACTTAAATATAAGACTTAAAAGTCTTATAGAGAGTGTTTTTTTTGGTTGCGCCCATAACCAGCCCTTAATCGCATTAGTATATTATAAACAGCGTGAACAAATCGTTCGAGAAAGCAAACTACAAGGCAAACTTAAGTGCGCTGTCAATAACCACCAACCTCTTTATTTCTCCTAGCTGGCCTTGCTCACCATCACCCCATCCAAAAATGTTTCCATTATCTGTCAGAGCAACTGAGTGCCTTGCACCAGCAGAAACCTGGACGATACGTTCACTTTCAAGAAACTTGACCTGAGCTGGGCGATGAGTATCCTCTTCAGGACCTGTCCCCGTCTGCCCCCAAAGATTTCGCCCCCACTGTCCGCCAACAGAATAATAGAGTGAATACTACTAAAGATGATAAGATAAACATGATTCTTCGAGCCCGTAAACCCTGACTTTTTCATTCCAGTAGCTAGAATATCCGCCAATCACAAAGTACAAAAAACTCAACGACAAGCAGACACGATATAAGGGCATACATTACTTGACATTTTGTCAAGTACAAATATTAAACGGTCTGATAGTAACACTATAACAAAGTTGGCATCCTTGTGAATACATGACCTTTAATCAGACTACTGCAAACATGAATTTGAAGACTGGATGAAACGTCCGACACTTAACTTACAGCAAAAAGTTCACCTTCACTGTTCAAGGCCATCGTATGATCTCCGCCACAAACAACTTGAACAATCATTTGATCGGACAAAGCTGTGACTGCTACTGGGTGGAATTCAGATTCAACAGTGCCATGCCCAAGTTGACCATACTTCCCTCTTCCCCAGGTAAAAACCTGAAAACACGTAAAAATAAAAAACTCATCACTTTCAGTCACATTGAACAATGATACTGGATGAGGACCTTAAATCCTACGAGCCAGAAGTCTAGAACTAGAGGACTAGAAAACAACGTTACGTGGCTTCTACATCATAGCGGAACTACTAAGTGTTCAAACTTCTGTTGAGTGATTCAAAACTACAAGCATGCAAATTGCATACATGAGTTGACTTCCAACGCAATCACATCCTAACGATGATATTTTCCACCGACTTGCTGCACAAAGACAAGGAAAGGGTATTGACCACAAGGTAAGGGTGATGTACCTGGCCATCGGCAGATAGAGCAGCACTATGGTTCTCCCCACATGCTACCTGCAGATTCCAATCATCAAGCAATGAAAGGCCTTCTAATAAATTGACAACAGAGAGATAAATATAATAAAATTTAGACAACCTATGATATTTTCAAGGGGTGATTTTCTTCATTTCTAGTTTTTAACATAGCATGGAAAGTAACGATCACTTTATGGCTGCTTTGCTACAATAGTAATTCAAACTCTTGTTGGTATATAAGGCCTAGATTCTGAGCATTACCATCAAGGCATTGTCTTTATCTACTTTGAACAGCTTCCTCAAGGTAAAATTCGGATGATCCGTACATGATGCACTTTGGTTACTCTACTTTGTATATATCTACTTTCATGATTTCAATATCTTGGTTATAAACAAATACATGTCGAACTATAGTGATGGAGTACGTTATTCGATTTCTAATTGAACTTCGTACATCATCCAGTCCGAAGATAACACCGGCTTTAAGTAAGGTGATAGACTCGTTTCAGTTTCTAATCTATAACATCAAATAGGTACCAGGAAATTCCATAATATACCCAAAGATATTGTTACCTGCACAATGCCAAGACCCCAGAGAGTCTCTACAAGCTTAGGTGAATCAATGTCATCCTTGCTGCCATGCCCCAAGGCGCCAAAGGCCCCTTGACCAAAAGTGTACACATCCCCGCTGCCTGCAAAGCGAAACTCAATTCCTTAAAAAATAGAAGAATTTATGCCCAAAACTTACATTTTGAAATTCATCTAAAAATGTGTAGAAGCGTAAAGCTTGATAAAACCAATCAAGACATATAGAAGATCAAAGACCCAACAATCAATCATTATGATTTTGTTTCCTCATCAGATAATTAATCGTCATATATCTCTACGCCATCGCAACTCTCTTAGCCAATAGTAAAGAAAAATTACGTTCACACAGTTCAAACAATTGATTTGATAATTGAAGGCTAAGTGTGAAGAAGATCGTCATGAGAATGGAAGAAAAAGAAACACCTGTCAAAGCTACAGTGTGGGCAGCACCACAAGCGACTCGAACGAACTGAAGTTCACGAGTGCCCTTCACTATCCGCGGCTGCACAGAGTCAACACTGCCTGCTGCCTCCTTGTGTCCAACTTGCCCAAATTCTGCTGCTCCCCATGATGCCAAGGCTCCGGTGTCTGCATTAGATAATAAGAAATCGAAGGAAATCTGTTATCTTCAGGACGTGAGTAAATGTCTATTGTTAAACCAATGCTTTTGAGCAGCTAAAATGCCTTCATAAAATTGCACATTCAACAACAAGAAACATATGCATATACATTAGAGATACTTAGGCCTGAACGTAAAGTTTCGATCTAGCCAAGAATATTGATATATGATAATCGAACCACATGACTACGAGCATAAAACAAGAACGTCGAAACTTATAATCAACCGATAATCTTGATGATAAAAAGACATACAGCAGCTAGAGTTACACGAACATCAAACGAACATCAAACTACAAGGAAAAACAAAAACCAAAACGACGATCAAATGTGACACAGGAAGATATATGCGGAAGGCGTTATGTATGTCCATCAGGTGTGAGGAATGTAATAATTTTGCAACAGGTGAAGGTGCTTTAAGTAAAACTTGGCATTACATCATATAAAACAATTCTTCTAATTGATATAACATGGTGGTCAACAATGAGTGTCGCGAAACTCAGGAACGATCATGGTCACTGACATTCGGGGATGCAGATACTGTTGCACTCAACATTGTTCCAGTTCAAGGGTTACATCTAGACGCTCTGAACAAAGAATTTACATGGCGAACATTCAAAAACTTAAAAAATATACCTGTGACAGCAACTGTGTGCTTTTGACCGCAAGCCACATGACTAATAGTATAAGTATCCAAGGCAGCGACACGGATTGGCAACAGCTGCAATTCTCGTGATTTTGCACCAAGCTGACCACACTCATTGTTGCCAGTGGTGTAAAGCTCTCCATCTCCTTCAAAAACAAAACGGTAGAAAACAGTAGTAAGATTATTTTTTGAGGTGATCACGAAGAAAATCTCCTAGAAGAGTTAATGGCTGAATGTGAAGATTATGGTTTCCAGATGTTAACTTGTTTGTCTGTTGATCATATTGACTTGAAAAGAATACTACCGCGATATAAGGGAGCAAACCTGTGAGGAAAGCAGTATGGAAGTCACCCGCTGCTACATGGAGAATGTCCTTGTCCGCGAGACTTTGTACTAAAGATGGAAAACTCCGGTCGCTTTCATCCCCAAGTCCAAGTTGGCCAAAATCCCCTCTGCCCCATGAATAAACTGTAATGACATGATTCACCCGTGAGAGCTGTAAACTTTCAAAAAGTTATAAAATTATGTTGGAGAAATTTTCCCAAACACGTTTACACTCACCAACCATTCTCAAACGTCCAAAAAAATCGCAGTTGCCTGATAGATTTTCAATCCCTTGAGCTCTACTTTGAATCAATATACCCTAGTATTGAGTTGAATATACACCGGGCATCAATAAATATCCATGTGAGATTGAATTACAGATCCATCTTCTCACTAATTAGCGATACATCGGTCTCCTTTGATGTGAAGACTACCCACACTTGGTGACATACAGAAAAAGTAAGAAATTTATTTGAATACTGCATGTTCAAAGTCGGACCCGGAAGAAATTTCTCTTTTCGAGCGGAATTTCCAAATAGCTGTCTGTCTTCAAATTCGCCAGAGTGTAAGCAGCTGTTATAACTCTCAGTACTTAAAGTAGTATATCTTCGGGGAGAATCTGAGTCAATTGACACAATAAGCTCCACTTTGTACGGGAAGGACATCGACACAGGTTTGAAAACAATTGTTCAAAAAGTATGGCAATCGATCCATACAAATGCAATGTTCAGCGTTTCTAGGATCGATAGACATGGTAAAGGTGGAAATAATAATGGCTTCCTTCGTGATGAACTATCGGCAAAATTCTCCAATCACAAACACGGAATATTTGAAAAAGCAATAATAGGCAGCCTCCAGAATTTTATAACTTAAGGGGATTCCCCTGCGTCTATCAGGAAGATCTGTAAGCCCATCAGGAAGATGGGCTTACAGAATAAAGTGAAGATTTTCAGCATCCCGACTCATGGGCAGTTTTCTGTCTAAATTTGTATAGATTACCCAAGTATTCAACTGCAATCTCTGGATTAGTGAGAGATAAAATATTCAATTTTTCCTTGCAACGACCGAGCGAGCTTAAGCACAGCACGACGAATCCAGTACCTACCGGCCTCACACTCCCACATTTCTTTGGTCTCACTCCCGAGCAATTCACACTTATTTTGACTGGTTGCAGCCACTTCGTCTCGTCTCTATAATCCAAACTCGAATTTAATTCCTTCCGATCATAGTCGGCATGATACCAATTGGGTCTGAAGGCACGATTCATGCAGGATAATTCTCAGTCGTTAATCCAATTAATCTCTTCCGGGTGGACCAGAACAATCAGTCTCGCGAGTTGTCTCATGAGCCCTAGCCAGATCAGCTTAAGATCCACTGACCTCCACCTTTACATTAACAGCTCAAAAACACACGACCGGACCGCTTTCACCTCCAGACCATAATCATGTGACGTGTGATCAAGAGGTTGAGAAGTGTAGAGAGCAGAGCGAGTGGGAACAATGAGCATGCAGTACATACCGGCCATCCCTGAAGTTCAAATCTAAAGCAGAAGGTACCAGAGACAGAGGCCGCGGAGTGATTCATCGAACGCTTCCTCCAACGATGGATTCAAAGCTTTTACACAGTTTCCGCTGCATCGATCTGTTGAATATTACCAGGCCGAATCGACGGGGTCTTCCCATCCTCTTCTTTTCTTATTTTACTCCTGTGCCTTCCCTTCCTCGCTTGTGCCTTTGCTCCGACTCCATCTCCAGCCGACCCGCGATGCCCACGGTGCTCCCAGCTCTATTCAGCTGCGCATTGGCCCGGCCCGACTCATCATTCCGCCGTCACGGTGTCCGGGCACAGGACGAAGTTTTATGTTTGGATCATCCCAATTTCAGACCCGCCCGGGCGGAACCGAGGTGGCCCGCTCTGGTACCATCAGGTCTTTATTGGCCTGGCCTTGTTGGGACTGGCTGTCGACAGAAGTCGAAATCCGACGTTGCAACCCGTGATCTACTGAGTGCCCGCGATGCCGCCCGCGATGCCGGCTCTGTGATGTGTTCTCCGAAAGGCGTTTGGTGCTTCTACTGTGTAGAAGGTGGGTCATAATGGAGGGTCGGAAGAATCTAGGGGGCCGCTTGGATTGAATCTACGGCATGCTTCGATCCTCGAGCGCTCTTTCTTGGTGTCGTCAGCCCCTTAAAATTTGGCACGCCATCTTTCCTCTTCTTCGGCTCTCGTTCCTTCCCATTCCCATGCTGCCGTGTTCTCCATCTTAATCGTAAAGCTTCGTCGCCAATAATTCAATGTTCGGAAATCAGTCAGTATCCAGAATTCATTCGAAAAGGGCCCAAACTTCCGGCATCTGACGGTGGGTACATGTTGTGGGTTGAGACTCTACTCTGCATCCAACTTTTCGGACGAGTAAAAGAAGGCTTCAGTGATGATCGGACTTCGTGCTTGTGAATCAATGATGAGCCGCTGGCTTTTGCTGGACAAAAATTAAAGATCACTCTATCTAACCTCACTCAGACGAAAACGAAGGGGAAATCATTTTCCGATGATCGGCACTTGGTTTTGTTGTATTTCTTGCCGTAGGATCATGACTCTGGTCAGAGTTTGGTCTTGGTGAGTTTGAATTACTAGCGCAAGTTCACTCACTGCAAGTTTACTTGTCCGAATACGATGAGCACCCAATTCCCCTCATGAATCTTCCTGTGCCAAAAACTGTTCGAAATGTCTCAGCTTCTCAATGACATTCTTTGCAAAAGCTGTATCACAATGTTTATCTTTGGTCTTAAATTGATTGGCAACTGCAAAGTCCATGTTGATTCTTCTTTCCAGACGATGTTTTTCTTTGCAGTTGTAAAGAAAAACATATATTTCTTTATTTCTTTATAATCATTAATCAACTAAACTTATGAGTCCATGTTAGCTTATCCGTTTTGGCCTGTAGCAGTCTATAAAAATTTTGTTGTTGATAAAATATCTCGATGGTTTTCTTGATAAGGTATGAAAATTCTGGCAATGTAAGAATATAACTTGGAATTGAAAAAAAGCTGACTTCAAGTATCATCAATATGAGTCACTTTATCATAGCATGTTCAATATTCTAATATATATGACCAGACATGTAATCGTAACAATCACTTCTTATGAATAAAATTTTACATGTGTATAGAAATTAATATGAATGAAAATTTATGCTAAATTTTGACATCACAAATAAATCAACTAGATTTTCTTAATGTTTCCTATGAAAATGTAGAATTTTAATCTTCGTTTTATACTCAATATTATTATCATATATTATAGATTGTCATATTTTCAGATATTTCAGAATTGTTAACGTAAAATCAAGAATCATTCACAAGACACTCATATAACGTGGTTCACCCTCGAGGGCTACGTCCACGGCTGGAACACTGAGCAGGTTTACTGACAAGTGAATACACAATATTTCAGCTACACCTAGAAGCCTTGGCTTTGGAGGTATATTTATACCCAAAGCCAACGACACACATAACTATAAATAGCTAGAGCTTGAGGTTACTCCTTAACCGGAGTTAACCTCAACAATCTATCCCTTAACTCGTGTTAAGGAAACAATAACCTCTGAAACCTATATTATTACTCAGCTGGAAGTTCTAGACAGATGCCTATCACAAAGCCCCTCTTTATACGAGAGTTAACTAGAACTAGACCGTAGCCATAACAGGATAGAGTAATAACATAAAGAAGTAAATATAGTTATTATGCTAGCAAAGTTTACATGTGCTCCCTATGCACAACTTGCATGGTAGCACAGTGTCGCCTGAAACTCTCCAATGGAATAACTTTGGTCAAAGCATCAGCTGGATTGAGTTTACTGTCGATCTTGACTAGCTCAATCGTTTTATAAGACATTGCTTGTCTGATAAAATGATACCTGATGTCAATGTGCTTCACTCTGCTATCCATGACTTGGTTCGCGGCCAAATGTAAAGCGCTCTGATTATCACAATGAAGATTAATCACGCCCTGCTTCAATTCCATTTCCATGATAAGCCTATCCAACCAAATAGCTTCCTTTGCCGCTTCTGCTGCTGCCACATATTCAGCTTCCATTGTTGACTGAGCTACGCATTTCTGCAAGGTAGACCTCCAACTAATGCGTCCATCGCCAAGTGTAAATACATACCCAGTTGTAGATCTCTTTTTATCTAGATCTTGTCTGTAGTCAGCATCAACGTAACCAAACAATGATTTGGCATTGTCTAATAGACCATCAAACAATAAGCCATAATCCAGAGTACTCTTCAAATATCTCAAAATCCATTTCACTGCTTCCCAATGAACTTTCCCTAGATTTGACATGTACCTGCTCCCCTTGCCCATCGCAAAAGCAATGTCCGGCCTAGTGCACACCATCAAATACATGAGGCTGCCTACAACTTGTTCATAGGGAACACATGACATATTTCCTTTCTCCACCGCATCCGTAGGACATTGAGCTGTAGATAGTTTGAAATGTGCTGCCAAAGGAGTCCATACTCCTTTGAAATCCATCATGTTGAACCTGTCAAGTATACGACGAACATACTTGCCTTGACTCAACCATAGTTTCTTTTGCTCATGATCTCTATGTATCTCCATGCCTAATATTCTCTTTGACTCCCCCATATACTTCATCTTAAATACAGACTTCAACTTACTCTTGCATTCATCAACATCGGATTGGTTTTTCGCCAATATGAGCATATCATCAACATAGAGTGCTAAAATGATGAGATTGAACGTCTCATCATTTACCTTCTTCATATAAACACAAGGATCATACACACTCCGAATAAATCCTTGTGCATTCATGAACTGATCAAATCGCGTGTTCCACTGCCTTGGAGCTTGCTTCAATCCATACAATGATTTCAATAATCTACAAACCAACCTCTCTTTGCCTTTGACCTCAAAACCAACAGGTTATCTCATGTAGATCTCCTACTCTAAATATCCATAGAGAGAAGCTATAACCACATCCATCTGATCCATAACAAGATCAAATATCGCAGCCAGTGCACATACCAGACGAATTGTAGCATATTTAGCTACCGGTGAGAAAACTTTGTTGTAGTCCACGCCCTTCTCTTGGGTGAAACCTCTAACCATCAAACCTAGCTTTAAAGATTTTCGCCTCGTCTCCTCCTGGATTATCTTTCAGCTTGTACATCCCCCTTAGAGTCAATCACCATTTGATTGGTAGGAGACTCAACCGGCTCCCAAGTCTTATTGTCAATCAGGGATTCCATCTCCCGCTTCATAGCAGTATTCCACTCAAGCTTATTGATCGAAGCTTGGGCTTCCCTGTATGAAGAAGGTTCACCTTCTTTCAAAATCAACGCTATACCATTCCTATCTTCTATATCAAAGTCACAATCTTCTAGAATGGATGAATTTGCCCACACACCAAACCTTTTAGGAGCCCTACTAGCACGATGCCATCTCCTAGTAGACGTTTCAGGTTGATCTCTGTTGTCTGAAACTATTGCAATATGCTCATCAATGATAATTCGCTCAAGTTCCTCATGTTCTTGATGAACCGGTGCTTCTTTTTGTGACAGATCATTAGTGATATAATGATCAAACTCTCCCACGGTGATATCCGTGACTGGAAATGTTTCATTGTCAGTACAAGGAGTCTTAGAATTCTCCTCCTCTTTCAATAAGCCAAGCTCATTGGAAGAAACATCTCGACTGACAATCACCTTACGTGCTAGTGGATCCCATAGCCTGTAACCTTTCACTCCACTAGCATATCCAAGAAAACGACATTTCTTGTACGTAGGGTCTAACTTAGTTCTATGCTCCTTTGGCGTAAGAAGATAAGCAGTACAACCAAAAACCTTCAAGCGGCTGTAATCCGCCATCCGTTTATGCCTGAGTTCAAACGGTGTGGAAAATTGGATTGCACTAGAAGGAGAGAGGTTTACCAGATAAAATGCGGTGTTGACGGCTTCAGCCCAAAACTCTCATAGTAAACTAGATTCACTTAGCATACTCCGCACCTTTTCCAACACTGTTCTGTTAAGTCTTTTAGAAATAGCATTTTGTTGGGAAGTGTAAACTGCTGTGAAGTGACGAGTAATCCCCTCCTCTGTACAATACCTCTTAAACTCCTCAAAAGTATATTCGCCGCCATTATCTGATCGTAAATATTTTACCCTATTGCCAGTCTGATTCTCAACTTGAATGCGTTAAGTTTTGAAGGTTGAAAAAGACCTCAGATTTGTGAGTACGAAAATATACCTACACATACCTAGAGTAGTCATCTATAAAAGAAACATAGTAGAGCTTTTCTAAGAGTGAGACAGTAGGAGATGGACCTCATACGTCACTATGTACATACTCCAGTATCTCCTTGGAATTATGAGTTCCAACACTAAAAGCTCGCCTATGTTGTTTTCCCATGTTGCAGTGTTCACAAAATGCAAAGTCAAGTGTATCCAAACCCGCTAACACTTTCTTGTCATCAAGAAGAGACAAATATCTATCACTCATATGGCCTAGTCTGGAATGTCATAAATGAGACATCTCTCTGCGAGATCTGGTAAAGTTGACTTCTCTACAAATTGTGGTGCCCTTTAATAAGTACAGATTATTGTGCTTATGACCCTTAAGTATAATCTTCTTATCACTAGATTTGACATCTAACACTCCATGCCTAGAGCTCCATTCCAAGAGAGATCAAGTTCTTTCTCATATTAGGTATAAATCTAACGTGTGTCAGTGTTCGATTTACACCATGAAACATGCGGATTTTAACAGATCCAACACCCTCAATCTTACAAGGTTGGTTATTTCCCATAAGAACAGACCCGTTTGATGTTGAGAAAGTATAGGAAAACTCT